TGACCTTACATGCCTCAAACAAGAATTCTATAAGGGTCCATTTATATCAACATGGAAACATCCTGACAGCGATACATAACATACTCATTGAAAACAAAAACGTAATACACGCCTCTGATTTCGAAAACCCCTAATAATAACAGAAGCCTTCATCATAAAAATAATTAAATAAAACAACACTTAAATCAAGTACGAACTGGGAGTTAAAAATACATCTACATCTCATAATTAACACAGCATTTGCCATAGCAAAACAAATATCTTTAAAAATGGGTTAGCCAAAAGCGCTAGAAACAAAAATCATATGGACAGTTTCTAAAAACAATAAGTCCCACACTGCTAGTGGAGCGGCTATGTTTACTCTGTAACAGCAGCATGAAAACTGGCGCGATCAAGCACAAACTTCGATCACGTGACCATAATAGCACCAACATTAGACACGCTTGAGCAGAACGCAGTGTGGCAAACATACAGATATATTATGGCGAAAGGGGAGATAATTTTTGACTTAGCCTCATAGATTAGGTTGCTACATAAGCAATTTCTATTTGGGGGAATCGATTTTATCATGCATAGTGAATGTATCATTCTTATTAATAATAAATAGGAACGATTGGATTAAGCCAAATATTTGTCCTGAGACACCATAACCCTTCAGCTTGTGGACAAGGTCAGCATGTTAAACTCTGCAAAACGCCTTTGAGATATCTGAAGCCGCACCTCGAACTACGCCGTTCTTATCTAAAGCCTGATAGATAAATTTGCTAATAACGGTTAACACATCGGAGAAACGCAAGCCATACTTTTTATCCGAAAGAAGGGCGTGTGAAGTGAACGAATCCGGGCTTGATCAGGGCATCTAGCGCTTTACCAAAAAAGAGGGAAAAATTAATGAGCAGATAATTCGAGGAGTCAAAATGTTCACCAGAGTTCGTAAAGGTAGTAACTAGAGAGGAGGATATGACAAAAATAATAAAAAACACAACAGAAAAATAATCAGCAAACCAAATACACCTGTAACTCTAGAGCAATGAACAAATGCCCCTTAAATGGCAATTGCTTGTAAAACAATATAATATACCAAGTCACAGTAACATCAGCAGGTAACGAAGAAAAAATACATATAAGCGTAACTGAAGGACCATTGAAATAGAGGAACTACTGACCCCACAACATTAAATACGCGGACAGCACAATTCTTTTTAAACATACATGGGGAATAAAAGCAAAAACATAAAAATATCATGAAAAATAAATGAAACAGCATCATCCTACAGTAACAAATCCTAAAACTGTTAACTGTATCTGTGAAGTCCGTCAGGAGTCTGTCAGTCAGTCAGAGCGAGCGAGTAAGTCAGTCGAGTCAGAGGCAGTCCGAAACAGAGTCGCGTTCAGACAATTACTACAAGACATTGGAATAGTAATACTGGTCGAGATTGCATTGTTCTCCCTACTAAACCTGATTGTTCGTAATAACCCTTTCTACTTCGCTGTATATATTCCTGTTTGTAATATATCTGTGTTATTCCATATCCGTATTCGAGTTCTTCTTTATTGGTTCTACCTTGGACTATCACCGTGGTACAAGGAACCGGACCATAACAATAATGTAATAAACTTTGATAAAGCCAATACGTTAAACTAAACAAATAACACAGCCAAGCAAATCTCCCAGCAAAAATAAATAAAATGATAAATAAATAAAATAAAAAAATAAATTAAGTAAATAATAAACAAATTAACAGAGTCAATTTTAATAATAATAATAAATAGCAAATCATACAAAATAAAATAAGAGAATTTTTTAGAATGGATTTTTATTAAACCGACGGAATTGTATCACCTTAAACGTTATTTATAGGGGACACTCGTATTTGAGCAGACGCTCCGTTTATTTATTAAACATAATATTTATTTATTTTCACCTTCGTCAGCAATCGCCCCTGCGTACCTCAGGACAGAGGGAGCAACCGCTTTACTGCTTGGCTACAAAGAACAAACTGTAAAGTGAAGCCAATTTCATACGTTAAAGTGAATTACTCTTTAATTTCTCGAATATTCAGGCCTGGTGTTTCTCCCAACAGGTTTCAACTAAAGGTTAGTACTCAGATGTTCCTTCTGACAAATTCCGACTCTCCGCAGTTGTATAGAGACTCACCTAGCTGTCAAAGTACTTCTTCCAAATCGAGGTGAGTTTTTCTAACTGTTATTCAAAATGTTTATTTTCCCTAGAATTCTAAAAGAGTTGCACTTTAAATACAAACGATTTAAATCCCCGTTGAGACTCCTATATACTATGAACGTCAATAAAACGAAAACAATATTTCTCAAAGTCACCGGCTTCAACCAGATTTTTCTTTACTTTTCACAAGGCCAGATCATTGTTGGGAGAAACTTGAATGTTGTTAGCGAAGCGTTTTTGTTCTATAGAAATAACCCAAAAGATGTAAAAAATTCTTGAAGAATTTCAACATCATACGTCAAGCGACAAAGTTGTGACACTGGAACCTTGTTTAAAAGTCAGATTTCTTCAAATCTTTAGTTGCCTGGTGTTTCTCCTAACAGGTTTCAACTAAACCTACGTTCCTTCTGGGAAATCTCAAATCTTTAATGTTGTATAAAGAGACTCGCCTAGCTGTCAAGTTGCTTTAATCTGACCGAGACAAAGATCCTGGAGTAGGCAAAGTTGTCTTAGTGGTTTTATTCCTTTACTTGAAATGAAATAATTAAAAGGAAAATACCCATAATTTATAATGTCATTTAATAGATCTTTATGAGCCGGGCCCTCTCAAGACGTAAGCGATCATGGCTCTCCACAATTTTCTGTCCTTTAAATTCAAACGATTTAAATCCCTAGTGAGTCTTAGATTTGCTATGAGCATCAATGTAACTGGTTGAAGCTTTTATTGTTCCATAGGATAGTGTAAACAAAAAATAATCAGAAATTTATAAAAAATAGATTCTAGGAGAATTTCAACTTCATATGTTGATTGGTTGGTTGATATTCTTTAGTGATATATCAACATATATATTATAGTAATGGTTATAGTAACTGATTGTCTATCGCGTCCGACACTTTCTGTCCAAGTAGATGATTGTGATTTATCAGGGCCAGAATCTGAAATCCGATCCTGCCCTGATTAAAAGAAATTTAGCCAACCTGAAAATAACGAGTTTGTAATGTGTGGCACATCAATATGATATCCAAGCCATTTGTGCCATTGCGTGGATCCGTGTTTAACAATATGCATTCAATATCACACCTTGGAATTAAATCATCCATTAAGACGATGAAGGCGAGATTTTACTGGCTAGATATGGATAAAACCCTCAGATAACTTTGTGTAGTAAGTGCATCCTATCAACAAGAAAAACTACACAATCACACCAAGTCACCAGAACAAACATTGGAAATATCATCAACAAGAATCGGATACTCGTTCATACATTAGTTTAATACCGAAATTTAAATATTTTGAAAATTTTATGGCTTCAACTAAATTTTATGGTTTCAAGTAAATACATTTTGAACCCAATTTTATGGCTTCAATGAAATATATTTTGAACGAAATTCTATGGCTTCAATTAAATATATTTTGAACAAAATTCTATGGCATCAATTAAATATCTTTTGAACCAAATTTTATGGCTTCAATTAAATATTTTTTAACCAAATTTCATGGCTTCAATTAAATATATTTTGAACCCAATTTTATGGCTTCAATTAAATATATTTTGAATCCGATTTTATGTTTTCAATGAAATATATTTTGAACACAATTTTATGGCTTCAATTAAATATATTTTGAACACAATTTTATGGCTTCAATTAAATATATTTTGAATCCGATTTTATGTTTTCAATGAAATATATTTTTGAACACAATTTTATGGCTTCAATTAAATATATTTTGAACCAAATTTTATAGCTCCAGTTAAATATATTTTGAACCCAATTTTATGGCTTCAATTAAATATATTTTGAATCCGATTTTATGTTTTCAATGAAATATATTTTGAACACAATTTTATGGCTTCAATTAAAATATTTTTGAACCAAATTTTATAGCTCCAGTTAAATATATTTTGAACCCAATTTTATGGCTTCAATTAAATATATTTTGAATCCGATTTTATGTTTTCAATGAAATATATTTTGAACACAATTTTATGGCTTCAATTAAATATATTTTGAACCAAATTTTATAGCTCCAGTTAAATATATTTTGAACCCAATTTTATGGCTTCAATTAAATATATTTTGAATCCGATTTTATGTTTTCAATGAAATATATTTTGAACACAATTTTATGGCTTCAATTAAATATATTTTGAACTCGACATTATGGCTCCAGTTAAATATATTTTGAACACAATTATGTGACTTCAGTTAAATATATTTTGAACCCAATTTTATGGCTTCAATTAAATATATTTTATAAGCAATTGTATGCCTTCAACTACATATTAAACATATTTTTGGTAATATTTTTATGTAAAAATGTGTTGCTGGTATTTTTATACATTCCTATTGTTTTCTGTTTGTTTGAAGTGTTCACTATTTGTCCATAGCAAGGACCGTAACAGGTGCTGCCAATCCGGGTCACAGTGGACCTGGGAACTCCAGCAATTTAGAGGTGGCGCCATGCTTCTCAAAATCTCCAATCTCCCGATGTGAGGCTTTGATATCGGCTGTAGTTTATCGTCATACCCAAATATAACTTAATATGTCAAGTGTCAAAGTTGGAACACTTTGGAAGATGTTAAAAATCCGACGTCCACAACTCATGAGCTGCCTGGTGTTTCTCCCAACAGGCTTTAACTGAATTCCAAAAGATTTGCCCAAAAGATTTCAATCGCCAGCGAGATTTAGATTAAAGCGAAAAGAAAATTTCGAAAGATCTTCGGCTTTACCGTGAGATCTACTTGCTTTTAACAAAGGTTAGCCTTAAGTTTTGAGTTCCGATTCTTCATCTTGACACTCAATTGGACATACGCAAATGGTGTTAAACTCATCGACAACGCTGTTTATTTTGAATTGCAATTTTTACCGTGGAAAAATCATTTTCTTCATTTGTTGTTTATGCAAGTATATGTTAAAGAGCATTTCTCTTTGTTCTTATGTTTGATATCACTTCACTTCTGCTAACATATATATATATATATATATATATATATATATATATATATATATATATAAGCATGCACTGAACTTCGTAAAACAAGCTTCGAAGTAAACATTTTGGACGGAAGAAAATACCTAATTATTTTCTCTCTCTCTCTCTCTCTCTCTCTCTCTCGTTACCTGTCTATCTGTTAATCTCTTTTAGGTTTCTATCTATCAATCTATTTTTCTCTCCATCCATCTATCTATCTCAGACTGTTCATCTCTCACTCTCTGTTTCTCTTTATCGTAGTCTATTCATATCTATCTATCTATCTACTTATCTATCTCAATCTTTTCATTATCTGTCAGTCTTTTTAGATCTATCTATCTATCTATCTATCTATCTATCTATCTATCTATTCATCTATCTATCTATCTATCTATCTCAGTCTGTTTATATCTATCTCAGTCTATTCATATCTATCTATCTATCTATCTATCTATCTTTTCATATTTATCTACTTACCTATCTCAATCTTTTCATTATCTGTCAGTCTTTTTAGATTTATCTATCGTTGATATCTATCTATCTATGTATCTATCTCAATCGGTTCATATCTATCTATCTATCTATCTATCTATCTATCTATCTATCTATCTATCTATCTATCTATCTCCGTCTATTCATATCTTTCTCAGTCTCTTCATATCTATCTATCTATCTATCTATCTATCTATCTATCTATCTGAACCTCTAAATTTGTTTAGTAACCTTATTTTGATGGGAAATTCTGCAAGGTAAATGAAAAACGTAAATATATATATGTGTATATCCACATATATACCTATACTTATACATATATTTACCAACATATAATGATATCAAGTAAATTATACAATTATATATAAAGACAAATGCATAAAATAATCCATATACATATCAAATATGTACGTATATGTACATATATATAAATATATACCTAAATATATACGCAAATTCATATCTACACATATATACATCTATATATATATATATATATATATATATATATATACAACTACTTAAAAAACATATAACACAAAAAAAATTATAATATTATCACACATCTACACATATACTTACATATATACATATGAAGAAAAATATACCGAAAAAACAAACAAAAATCTTAATATGCAATTATGCTGTATTAATGTTAATATATAGTCAACGTCGGACGTTTCGGTCTATTTTAGACCATCATCAGGACATATTCATAAAACATAATTAACATCAGAACATATAAAATTCAACATGAAAAGACGATGGACATAAGTTAATGTTAATTATGTTTTATGAATATGTCCTGATGATGGTCTAAAATAGACCGAAACGTCCGACGTTGACTATATATTAACATTAATACAGCATAATTGCATATTAAGATTTTTGTTTGTTTTTTCGGTATATTTTTCTTCATACTGTCGGATCTATATCCATATATTTGCTTACATATGAACATATGCATCCACTTATATACACGTATACATAAAAGTACACAAAACACAAAAAATTATTAATAATATTATCACACATCTACACATTTATACATATATATATAGACATATAAACATATACACATACCTATATATATATATACATATATATACACACGCATACACATAATAACATACATATGTACAGACACACACACATATATATATATATATATATATATATATATATATCGTCGTTTGTTCATATACAGCTCTATATCTATCTATCGTAGTCTGTTCATATCTATCTATCTGTCTATCTATCTCGATCTGTTCATATATACCCTTATATATATATATATGTGTGTGTGTGTGTGTGTGTAGGGGGTGCAGTATATTCATATCGATAACTTTACATAATTGCCAATCTATTCATACTTATGTTAACGCAGAATTTCAAATTTAACTATCTCAGTTTATTCAGATAAATATGCAGACAGGCAGACAGATACATACATACATATATACTTAGATATGAATATTCTAAGATAGATAGATAGATAGATAGATAGATAGATAGATAGATAGATAGATAGATAGATAGATTCATTGTATTAAAAGACACGGATAGATAGATAGATAGATAGATAGATAGATAGATAGATAGATAGATTCATTGTATTAAAAGACACGGATAGATAGATAGATAGATAGATAGATAGATAGATAGATAGATAGATTCATTGTATTAAAAGACACGGATAGATAGATAGATAGATAGATAGATAGATAGATAGATAGATAGATATTTATAGTTGCCAAGATATGCGAATTCCAAAGATCTTCAGTTGACGAACCTAAATCAGAATGAAGACAAAACGAATCTTTTCTCTTTTCATCTTGCTTTTACCACATCTGTGACATCGACGTCCATCAATTCAGAAGTTAGAGAACAATTCTCAGGTTACAATAACAAATGGGAGAAAAGAAGAGTTCGCCTTCTATTCTTAACTTGCTCTCTCAATGGGACGATAGATCTCACTGGTTCGAGCGTAGGACCTTGAGGCGGTTGATTTTAGCATCCAATCCCGTTGACTTTCTCACTGGTGTAGGTAACCACAAAATCGCTCAAGCAATTCGTAGTAAAGAGCTCTCTTTAAGCCTAGTTTCATTTATATGTAGAATTTCAATTTACCTGCCTTGGTATTTTGCCTCGTTATCTTCTTAAGCCGATGAGATTAACAAATTTACGATCACTTCGTATCGAAACACCATTCCCTGTAAACCCTGTCGACTGAGGCTTCAGACTACGCCGATTGCAACCGCTGCAGAAAGGTAAGACCCCCACCCCCAGTGAGGCATCCTGGGTAAAGACGATAAACTATATCCGACGGCAAGGCCTCTGATCAGGATGTTTTGAGGAGCATGGAACCACCTCTTATTTGCTGGTGTTCCCAGGTTCACCCTGACCTGGGGTGGTAGTACCTGTTAGGGTCCCAGCTATGGGCAAATAGATAACCCCCAAACTGGGGTCAAAATACTATGAAAGTGTAAAAATAGGTTTTAATAACAGAAACATATTTCTGGATTAAAAAAATTACCAGCAACGCATTTTCGAAAAATAAAATATTACCAGCAATAAAAACATTATCGGCATTAAATAACCCTATTTACATTATTCGGACTATTGTCCTCATCTTCGTCGCAATATTTATTACAACGTTTCGGCCGTTGTACGATCCGGTCTTCTTCAGGTAGTTGGAATGTCGAACTGAACCCTTTATTTAAATAACCCATTGAGGTTGATATGCCGTAAAACAAAACAAACCAAACCAAATCAGTTCCCATAAAATCACCTAAGAAAACGTCGATCCTGGTCAGTATCTAGAAGGGTGACCTCTTGGGAATACCAGGTGCTGTAAGTTTGGATGTGCGGGTGGTGTAATGGGTAATGGCTCGGGATTGCTAATCAGAGAGCTGTGTTCCAATTCCAGTTGGGTTCATTATATTCACTTACGCTTAAATACCCTTGGGAATGGTATAATTTCACCTCTTCTCTCTCCTGCTATGGGTTAATTAGTAAGACTTCTATCATTAAATCATTATGATCTTAAAAAAAATTTTTACAATCTATAAATATTTTCTGGATTTAAATAACCTGCAAAGAATTAGTAAGCTACATTTTGGGCTAACACAATTTTTCAGTATATTTGCTTCATAATTCCTAGTTAACAAGCATTGGTCCTGCGCAGCAAGAATAAAACCTTCAGTTTCAGCTTTTAACCTGACTGTAAGAAAATATGAGAAAAATATATTATTAAGGAAAGAACAATAAACTCTAGTTTTTATCCCAAGTAAAAGAACTTTGAATTGTTAATTTCTCTTGCAGCCTGTCAAGGCCGGTGTAAGGGTTTTTGTGTCTCTCTCTTAAATAATGATACACACCCTCCCCACCACCATTCTATTACATCTCAATTTTCATAAGGTAATCTTCATATAAAATACAAATTTTATAGTAACCTAATTATGTACAATAATGGATCATATGCAATATAGGTGAACAATTCAACTCGAAAAATTGAAAATAAATCCAATTTATCTAAATACAAATTCATGTCATAATAGATGATTCCATCTTAAATAAATCAACAATGTTTTGAGGCAATTTTTAACACCAACTTGAGGTTTTTTATTGTTGAAGAATTTTAAAACAGTCAACATTATGGATAAAAAACTAGTAAATTTTATATAGAGTTTTTCGAGATTAACACGAAGCAAACTCACGGATTTGCAAAAGCAAAAAAGAAAAAGATACAAATCCGTGGGTTTGTTGAAAATAATGTCAAAATCCTTTAAAAGTGTTCATCCTGTAACAGTCAGTTGTACTTAGTTTAATTTGTAATGACCGAATTGAACGTTTTATGTCGCTTAAAATCAGGGCCGGCCCTAGGGTTGCTGGCACAACTGGCAAGTTGAAGTCGGTGCACTTACAAGTATATTGTTTTTAAATTTTCACGGGGAGAAGAACTGAAAATGTAGAATAAAAAGTTTATTACAACATACAACTTAATACAAGCCAAAAGAAACATTCACTACCCTACCTAAAAATATTTTGTTCTAGACTTTAGATCTGCAAATCTTTTCATGGAAATTTCTACACCTATCTACTTTACAAGATCATTTTCTATTGACAAAAGAGCCAAAGAATTTAATCTGTCTTGAGTCATGAACGACCGCAAGTATGTTTTTATAAGCTTTAATAAAGCTTCTCTTTCCGATGGCCACATTAATGAGTATAGTAAGCATTATTCTCAATGCAAGCCACAGATTTGGCATGACATCCTGTAACTTATCAGTGTTTATGAACAGAACGACTTCTATTGAAAGCTTTACATCTCCAGGAAATGATTCTTCTGCAATATTCAGTTCAGTCAAGAAATCACATCCATTAATATCACTAGTTTCTTGTTACCTTAACTTATCCTCTAAACTTTGACATGTTACATTGAGTTTATTTTTATGTGGCAGATCTTTTAGGTTATTTAAAAATCCCGATGAGTTATTATTGAAACTTTGCAACTTTTCAAATCTCTCTGATAAAGAATTAATTTAATATTTTTTATTTCATTTTATTTATTACTAGCAGTAGAGCCCGGCGTTGCCCGGGGATGTAACAGTAAGAGATAGATCAAGTATCGACCATCATAAAGACTGAAAAATAAAATTGACAAAGATTATTGTTTAAGGTTGATGGACACGCATGTCTTAATTAGTTTGTTTTTTTTGTTTTTTTTACGAATTGGTCAAACCCAAATTCAAACAAAAACATTGTTTTCAATCGTTATGAGTCTATCGATTGAATAGAATTTTATTATAAACAATTGTCTTGTAAATTGGATTTTTAAAGCATTCTGAATGTAAAAATAAAGAAAAAAGTGTACAAGACAATAAGAAACACTACCTGCCAAAAAAAAAAGTGAAGTTTTGTTGAAATTGGTTGAAAAATGTAGGAAATCTGATCCCGTATATAAACGAACACAGACATACACTCACAAACAACCTGGGTTTTATAATAAGTATAACTCGATATGAGTTGTCCCCCTTTCATTCTCGAAACAGCGATGCCTCTTAATCGTGTTTTCAAATTGATTTCGTGCAAAAACAATTGTGTTTTTTCAATTTTTGGCGCTGTCAGAACCAATTGCAAGGTAATTTTACGCAGTTCTGTGAAGTTTTGTTGAAATCGGTTGAAAAATGTAGGAACTCCGATCCAATATATAAACAGACACACACACACACACACACAAACACAAACACACACACACACACACAGAGAACCTGGGTTTTATAATAAGTATGATTTTCACATTTTTGTTTGAAAGATTTTCAAACACATGACATGGCAGCATGATGACGCCGTCGACCTTAATGGCGTCTCCAGCGACTGCCTGAGTTGTCAGTGTCTTGAGCCGGCCCTTAAAATTCTTTGTAAAGCCATTTTGTTAAAAATAACTTTCTCCAATAAATGGAAATGAACTGCATCTTTTCTCTCAACCGAACTGTGTATTTTACGATATTATAAAAAAAATCTCAACATTTTTGAGTGAAACCCTAATCTGATAATTAATCAGACGTTTTACTCGATGTCTTACCAGTAATCGTCTATTTAATGTAGGGCCCCAAAATTCATTGATCCTTCCTTTTAAACACTCTGTCAATCGTCAAGCGCAAATAAATGAACTGGGTGTGTAAACATTGACTGAGAGACGTGATTAAAGATGACAAAATGCAGTCGGTTTTATTTCGTGATAGAAATAAAAAGGTGGAGGAAATATCTAAGCGAACGCCGAGATAAAATGAATACAGAGATGAAGACTGTTTCAGGTTTGTGTCACGTAACAGTAGAAAAGAATTTAAAGCAAATAGGGGACAAGAAGAAGAAGAAGAAGAAGAAGAAGAAGAAGGAGTAGGAGGAGGAGGAGGAGGAGAAGAAGAAGAAGAGCTTATAAGCAGTAAACGAGAAGACATTGAAAGAAAGAAAGGAGAATAGGAATATGAATCGGGGTCATATGATATTTTATCTTAGAAAGAGATGATGATGCTGCAATATGAACAAAATAATGAAAAGAAGAAGAAAAGGAGGAATGGAAGAAGTACAAAGAGATTATAGAAATAGGCGAACTGAAAGAAAGAAAGAAATAAAGAAAGAAAGAAAGAAAGAAAGAAAGAAAGAAAGAAACAGAAAATTAAAGTAAGGAAAGAGAATGAAAGACACAAGGGAAAAAGCAACGAAGAAAGAAAGAAAGAAAGAAAGAAAGAAAGAAAGAAAGAGAGAAAAGAAAGATGGAAAGAAAGGAAGCAAAAAGAAAGAAAGAAAAGGTTAAAGTAAGGAAGGAGACTGAAAGACACAAGGAAAAAAGCAACAAAGAAAGAAAGAAACAAACAAACAAACAAACAAAGAAAAACAGAAAAGAAAAGTAATTATAAGAGGCGGCAAAGAAAGAAAGAAAAATAAGTAGTAAAAAAGGAGAAAGAAAGAAAGAAAGAAAGAAAGAATATAGGAGAAAAGTGCGAATTAGCCAGAAGAAGGAAAGAGAGATAGAAAGGAAGGAAGAAAGAAAATAAGAGAAAAAAAAGGCGAATTGAAAGAAACAAACAATGAAAGAAAGAAAGAAAAATTTGCAAAATGGGCGAATTAGACAGAATAAAAAAATATAGAAAGGAGAGAAGAAAGAAAATAAAAGAAAAATGGCGAACTGAAAGAAAGAAAGAAAGAAAGAAAGAAAGAAAGAAAGAAAGAAAAGTGATGGACTCATAGAAAGAAAGAAAGAAAGAAAGAAAGAAAGAAAGAAAGAAAGAAAGAAAGAAAGAGGAAATAAATATGAAAGGTGAAGGTAAAACTCCTCATGAAAGTAGAGTTAAAAAAGTGAAACTATAGAAAAGACGTGGGAGGAAGAACACAAGACTGATCAGCAAGCGACTTGCAGCGCCGACAAGCGGCAGAGGTAAAAAGTAATTATTTCTCGTCCACAGGATATAATGGTGTAGCAAATGCTTGTACAAGAGCCAATTGTTATTTGATAGGATTGATAAAGCAGTAGAAACAGAAATGGATACCATTACATACCTACACATATACACACGCGCACATGTGTGTGGGCGTTGGGGTATGGGGCGCATATAGGTGTGTACGCTAACACACCTGGATAGGTAATCAGTTGCATTGTGCAAATAAGAAAGTCTGTGAGTGTGACAGTGAACTTCGTGATAAGGTTCATATTTATGTGCATGTCTAATACGTACGTAGATAGATAGATAATGAACAGACTGAGCTAGCTAGCTAGCTAAATAGATAGATAGATAGATATGAACAGACTGAGATAGATAGATAGATAGATAGATAGATAGATAGATAGATAGATAGATAGATAGATATGAACAGACTGAGATAGATAGAAATGAAAGAACTGAGATAGATAGATAGATAGATAGATAGATAGATAGATAGATATGAACTGACTGAGATCGATATAAATAGACTGAGATAGATAGATAGATTTAAACAGACTGATATAGATAGATAGATAGATAGATATGAACAATCTGAGATAGATAGATAGATAGATAGATAGATAGATATGAACAGAGATCGATATAAACAGACTGAGATAGATAGATAGATAGATTTAAACAGACTGAGATAGATAGATAGATAGATAGATAGATAGATAGATAGATAGATAGATATGAACAGTCTGAGATAGATAGATATAAACAGATAGATTCTGTTTATTACTGTAATATACAATAATTGTGGTACATGGCCTTAAAGTGGGGGTTGGATTTGAGGTTGGTTATCCTTACCTATCCTATGTCTAGCTAACCCGATTCACGACCCATTCATCCAATACAAATAACCCATTCATCGAAAGAATTCACCCTTCACCTTTTACTCCTACATATACCACAATACCACATTCACGAAGGGACCCTAAAAATTCACCCTATGCTTTAAAATCTCTTATGTACAAATGTTCATAAAATATATTTATATATATATAAAAATCTGACGATGATGTGAAATGATGGGGAGGGTTCTAAATCCTGATACAAAAATTATATGTAAAACAGAAAGTAACAGAAAATAATTAATGTTAGTAGGGCCTGTCCACGCCACGGAAATCAGAGTTGCCGCTGTATTCTGTCATCAGACAGAATCAAGAGGCTAACTCTCTAACGGAATCGGGGAGGTGAAAAATAAATGTAGGGCATGGGGAAGTCAAAGACTGAACCAGTCGAGATAAAAAAAAAAAAAGGGTTCCAAAACAAACTGGGGAGGTTGGGAATCTCAACTTGGCTCATAACCGAAGTAAGGCACCGGGAACAAGCCAGGAACGACACTCACTCACGTTAACTAGTTACACAAAAGGGGATCTACTTTAACCAGGGGGAGGGTACGCAGGAAACCACCGCGTTGTGACGAGAGGGGACTTAAAAAAGGAACTCAAGGATAGCCCCTTTCACGCAAACCAAGCTCGCTACTTTTACCCACCTTTCGTTGAAATCTGTCGACACCAAACGCTTTTTATCAGTTCTGATCTTCACTTTCAGTTGATGCTGAAAGTATCTGATCAGAACCTGATGAGAATAGCGTTCCGTCGCAAGAGATCCCTCCTTTCGCGTCATCCAGATAACCATTCTTGCCACGGCTAGCAACGTTAGAAACACCATTCGTTTCACCCCCAGAATACGGGGGCGACACATTGTCGCACGCGTATGCGAGATCGATGAGCACAAGCTGATCGGGAGCGATACGAGCCGTCAGCTCGCCGACATCGTCCCAGAAAGGGCGTACCTGAGGACAATGGTAGAAGGCGTGCAAAGCCGTTGCCTCTCAACCAAGGTCACACCGGTAATAGTCCGGCAAATCCGCCCAGCCCCATCTGAAGGCCATGTCGTTGAGAGATAGCACGTTGCGGATCAATCGCCAGGTAAGCGAAAACTCAGTGTTACTGAGGTAATTCGCTGCTGGCGCCCAAGACCAGAAAGAGCGCAACTCGTCCAACGACAAGCCGAACCCGTCGCAGAGACGATCCTTCACGAGCCCCTTTACTAATTCACGATACAAGACCTTTCGAGGCTGTGAAAGGTCACTGGACCGAGGAAAAGCCCTCAAGGCCGCTCGACACTCGTTGAGAAAAGTCGACAATTTCTCGGACCTACGACGGCGCTTAGCCCAGAAAATGGGAGGAGTGATAGTAAGGCTAGGGAAGGCGCCCCTAACACTCCCACCAAAATCGAATCCTCTGTCAAAACGCGACGTAGGAAAGCTAACCTCGAGGCGTGACGATGACTCACCACGTGCGGCAATCCCAGCCCCCCATGCCACGTACGTTGGACACAAGCTTCTTTACGGACCTTCTGCTTGCGCCCACTCCACAAGAAGGTGGACAACAAGCGCTCGATCGCCTTCCTATTGTCCTTGCAAAGAGGAATTACAGCCAAGCGGTAAAGGACGAGAGGAAAGACGCACACACCTCCGCTCTACCCTTCAAGGACAACCTCCTTCGGAGCCAAGTCCGGACCGACGCTCCGACCTTTGTTTGTACATCTGACCAATTTTTCTCCAGCTGGAGGTAGGGTCCAAACCACACTCCGAGAATGTGGACATGACCATCCGTCCAACTGAAGTTCCCCGGAAGAGAGAGACCCCCTTCCAGGCACCTAACCGCAAGCCGGAAGACTTGTTACGGTTAATCTTGGCCCCTGTGACCTTTTCATAGCGTTCAAGCGCCTTCTTTACCACCTCAATGTCGCTGCGGCACGACACGAAAATGGATACGTCATCGGCGTACGCGGAAACCCTGCCACGAGCCCCACCAGGGACAGCGATTCCACGTAGTGCCGAACTGCACGCCCCGCCCCTCAATATGACTGCAAACGCTCCGTCAGGATCTTGGCCAAAATCTTTAACTCTGTGTTCAGCAGAGTTATGGACCTATAATCGTCTAAATTCCGCCCACCATCCTTGCCCTTTTTCAACAGCGTGATCACACGCCTGGTGATCTAACTGGGGATTGTCCCCTGCCGGAACCAGTTGTTGAACACGACAGTTAAAATTGGCACAAAGATGTGCGACAGACCCAAGTACAATTCATAGGGTAAACCATCAATTCCCGGAGACTTGCTGACCCTCTTCAAGCCAAGCAGACTTCGCCCTCCGTGATCTCACACTCGCAGCTAGCCGCTTCAGTCGGCGAAAGCCGAGGAAAGTCAGCCAAATAGCTTCGAAACTCATCGCCACTGAGACCAGACTCTTTGGTAAAACGGCTCTCGAAATGCCGCCGAAAAGCCTCGCACATATCGTCAGTCGACCTCAGAGTACGTGCCTCCGGGGTTTTGACTTCACGAATACAACGATCGGAACCTCGACGGATCTCTTCCTTGCGCAATTGTGCTCCCATGTTCACGGCTTCATTAGACATCTTGTTTAACCTATGTCTAACTACCTGACCCTGGTAGCGCTCGCTAGCCGCGCGCTCCACGGCCTGCTTAGCTAAACCTATCTCTAGGCAACCCCCTCCGCCTCCGTCCGGAACAGACTATCTTTAAGTGTCTTCGCCTTTTTAGCCTTATCTAGTGAACGACCTAATCCTATCCTTAAGCCTCTCCCACCACCTATTCCCAATAACCGCCTCCACTAGTTCGCGCCGCACTAGTCTAATTAGCTCTTGCTGGAAGTCCCGCCTATCTTGTAAGGACAAACTGAACTTCCAGTGTCCTGCCATTCTAGGCCTAGAATCTAACGCTATCCGGGCACAGACGAGTCTATGGTTCGTATAGTGGAACGTTGGACAATCTAGCAGGTCTACATCGGTCCTTCTCATTATCATTCTATCCAGGTAGCTGGCCACCTGGGTAGGCGGCCACTTACGAGTCCACTTCCACATCTCCCGCTCGGGGTGATCGACTCGGTATCTATTGACGAGACGGAACTCGTCGATCAGATTAACCAATGACCTCCGGCTAGCTCCCTGTCCCCTGTCTATCTTGGGGTCCAGAATTGCTTTCCAGTCCCCACTAAGACTAAGCGCGAAGAATCGACCAGGAACGGCTCCAACTATCGAAAAAACGAGACACGCTCCGCCTGATCGTTGGGCGCATAAACCGCAACGATCCGAAACGAACCACTGTCCACGGCAATATCAGTTCGATCAACCGGCCCCAAGCACCGACGTGGAAAAGGTCCACCCTCGCATCCAGGGTACGTTTAACCAACAAGGAAACACCTTTGGCCGGCTGGTCCATGTATGCTGAATAGACAACATAGTCGCTAGACAGCACACGCGCATCAACCTCGCAAGCAAAGTGCGTCTCCTGAATCGCAGCTAACATCTACGCCGAACGACAAGAGATCACGAAGCAGGCGGGCGGCCTTACTCCGACCCCTCAAGCCCCTCGCATTCAAACTAGCTATCTTGAGAGACATTTTTCAATTTGATTCCCCTACTCACAGACTGGAGGGAAATCTGCGGATGAAAGGACCCCAACGGATTGTCCAAGGCTCCCTGTACCCATCTCTGTCGTCATACGACTATCTCGGACAATACCGCCAACGTCCGAGAGGTACGTTAGTTTTAATGTCCTGTATAATGGTGAATGGAGGATTACTGGGACCCTCCCTGCACAATATTTCTGTAACTTTCCCAGTCCCGGGGTTCCTATTTCCGCCATACGGATCTCTGGAAAGGCATCCTTCGCCTCGTGAAGGTGATCCCAGGCTATTAGATTTCGCCCTGTGCTTTTTATCCATGTTATTACGCCGGCGGCGTTGGAAAAATTTCGAGGATCATCTATAGAAAGTCCGTCTACTGACGCCATCTTTAACATATTTAGAAAAGAAAAACCCAATATGGTCTTCAGATATGTAGAGTAGAAACCCTATGTACAGTCACTTTTGCCTTTCTTGTCCGCATATATTCCGTCTGAAGCCTGACTGTCAAAGTAGTTAGTATACAGCCTGCCAGTGGTTTGGCTTTCTCTTCCGTCGACAATAAGATGCCCTACATTGACTTACTTCTTCTTGCTAGAATTTGGGCTGCAATTTGAAGACATTTCAGAGCCTCCTCCATCACTTCCCTAGTCACGATATTTAGTTTCCGGGTCTTGGGGTCCATTGTTACTAATAAAATTGTCCTTGGATTCACCGTGTCCAATACAGACGGTACCGCTAATAATTCATTGCCATTAACATATCGATCAAATTTCTCTTTTAAATTTTTGTAATATTCTGGCCATTTTTGTGGGGGCCTATCCCTTGCCCATGTCGAAGGATTTACTTCTGTAGGAGAAGCAGCAGGAAGAGATTCGGGCTCCGACATGATGTCGGCGTACCCTTGTCACCCCAACACAATTTGAAACAAAATACGCAATTCAGACGAATAAGACGACAAAGAAAGACAACAATGGATACACAAGATGATGATGGGAGGCAAACAAAAAATAGCACTTATTCTGAAGGATATCCAACGAAAATGTCTTGTACAGCTCGCGGTAAACTCGTTAAGACAAAAAGTCTCCTAGATAGATAGATAGATAGATAGATAGATAGATATGAACAGATTGAGATAGATAGATAGATAGATAGATAGATAGATAGATAGATAGATATGAACAGATTGAGATAGATAGATAGATAGATAGATAGATAGATAGATAGATAGATAGATTTCAGTAGAATGAAATCGATGTTAAAGAAGAATGACTTTTACATGAAGACAATAATATAGAAATGTCGATTGCTATGAAATAAATATATCGCCATAATTTGCAAGCATTGGTTGTTATATAAGCCTTTGTTATTCTCTTGAAATTCTTTTGCAAATATGCGTCTTTTGACGAAACGAATATTTTTGAAAAAATACTTTATCTCATTTAAATCTTCGCTCGAAGCGTTTTCATTCTGACAAAAACCGTGACGTAAAGTTCTTCAGTCTAAAGATTTCTGATACATTCATATTTGGTCCTCTTTCGTCAAGTGGATCGGGTCAAAGAAATTTCTGCAACCTGAAGTATTTATTCTACCACACTCCTTCAATTTAGGGCCACATGGATACTCCCCCGGCTTCTACTGGGGTAATTTCAAGATAATTTTAAGACTATCCCCCAAACAGAACCTGTTCTTCAAAACGGCTCTGGCATCCTTACCTGGCCCCAAAATGCCCGAACAAGTTTCCCACTTTATTACCATTAAACCTTCTTTAAAGCTCGATGTTGTGTCTCATTCGGTAGTGACGTGGGCGCATTCAAATATCCTCCATTGGTGATAAACGCTTGGGTGGCCATGTTTCTTTCAATTCATGACTTTTTACAATGTCGAGTCTATTTCTATATTAATTAATTTATATTAATATATTAATATTTTAGTTTATTAATATTTAAAATTAATATTATCATTTATTATTAATATATTAAAGCCATTTATATAGCAAATTATAATCTTTATATAATTTTATATATATTTATATATATATATATATATAATTCATTCAACTTTTACAATCAATATCATCCGGTGGAGTAAAAGGGCTAATTTACATCACTTCATCTCTTTTCGTTTTCTGCTAGTTTTAGAATTATTTTTTTCCTATTTTTAGTATTTTAATATGGTGTAGATTACTGCTGAAATTCCAATGATACTAGACTCTATGTCAATGCCCCTAAAACTGACTTCATAACCTTCAACCAGCAAGGCTCAATACAAACTGTCTCAGGTTAATTAATAAAATATGTCGACCATTTTGCATACCTAGAAGGCAAAATATATTCTTCTGAAAAGGATGAGAAAATCCTACGAAATCTGATTCACCAGACAACCTCAAACGGAGATTCTTTCAATCCACTGTAGAGAAAAAAATAGTGATTTTAATAACTAATTTTTTCAGTTATTTTAAAATTAGAATTTTTAAATCTCCCTCCCCCCTCATCCGGACACAAATCTCAGTGCTGGGTGTTCAACCACCAAATAAAAGATATATTTTCAATCCCGGTATCATCCTAATTCCAAAAAAGTATAATATGGCTATGTATAGCAAGTGTGGCTCTAATTAGAGTGGTTTCAGACACACGGACAGACAGGATTTTCCGTTTATTTACTTAGAAGTAACTATCAGAAACTGATCGATAAATATATCAAAGATGCATATTGGAGTGTTTAGCAATGGGAATCTGATATTAATAAGAGTTTAAGTTTTTCTTTATCACCAAGACTCTCAAGTTGATCTCCTGCAAAGTTGACCAATGATGAGGACTTAACTATCACTGTAAACACCATTACCAATGCCCTCAGTTCTCCAGCATTAGAAAATGCTGTTAATCATACTAGACTCTATGTCAATGCACCTAAAACTGACTTCATAACCTTCAACCAGCAAGGCTCAATACAAACTGTCTCAGGATATTTAATAAAATATGTCGAATATTTTGAATACCTAGGAAGCAAAATAAATTTTTCTGAAAAGGATGTGAAAATTTTTGGACAAAATGGATGTAACCTGGAAATCTGATTTACCAGACAACCTCAAACGGAGATTCTTTCAAGCCACTGTAGAGATGGTTTTAATGTAGGGCGCCACTGCTTGGACATTAAGTAAAACTCTAGATCGATGGGACCTACACTCGGATGCTGAGAATTATACTTAGCATATCTTGTAGGCAACATATGATTAAATCACAGCTTCATGGAGCCATCCCTGATAGTTCTGCAATCTTATGTGAAAGCGGAATGCACTTTGTTGGCAAGCAAAACAAGAACTTGCTAGTGATGTACTGCTTTGGACACCTAACCATGAGTCAGGACAGGTTGGACGCCTAGCAACCACCTACATTGACGCAGAATGCCAACTTAATGACCGACCCTGATTCAGGACAGTGAGATTTGGCGTGATAGACTCCTGAATGTCCCAGCTAGCAACGACCGAAATCAGTACTACAACCGATAAAGTCAGTCTCTTTGGAAAGATGTGAAGAACATTGTCCATCGTATTAAACCAAAACGAAACGATGCAGTGAACTATTGCCCCTGCCCCAAATATATATATATATATATATATATATATATATATATATATATATATATATATATATATGTATGTATGTATGTATGTACAGACATAGATGACAAAACTGTTAAATTAAAGATAATTAAGTTATCTGTTCTATTATTACATAATTAAATTATCTATCTATCCATCTATGTACAAGACTTAGATAGATAGATAGATAGATACGATTAGAGTGAAATACTTGGATAGATAGATAGATAGATAGATAGATAGATAGATAGATAGATAGATAGATACGAATAGAATTAAATACTTAGATAGATAGATAGATAGATAGATAGATAGATAGATAGATAGATAGATACGAATAGAATGAAATACTTAGATAGATAGATAGATAGATAGATAGATAGATACGAATAGAATGAAATACATAGATAGATAGATAGATAGATAGATAGATATATAGATAGATAGATACGATTAGAGTGAAATACTTGGATAGATAGATAGATAGATAGATAGATAGATAGATAGATAGATAGATAGATAGATAGATAGATACGAATAGAATGAAATAGATAGATAGATAGATAGATAGATAGATAGATAGATACGAATAGAATGAAATACTTAGATAGATAGATAGATAGATAGATAGATAGATAGATAGATAGATAGATAGATACGATTAGAGTGAAATACTTGGATAGATAGATAGATAGATAGATAGATACGAATAGAATGAAATAGATAGATAGATAGATAGATAGATAGATACGAATAGAATGAAATACTTAGATAGATATAGATAGATAGATAGATAGATAGATACGATTAGAGTGAAATACTTAGATAGATAGATAGATACGAATAGAATGAAATACTTAGATAGATAGATAGATAGATAGATAGATAGATAGATAGATAGATAGATAGATAGATAGATACGAATAGAATGAAATACTTAGATAGATACGGTTACAATGAAATACTTACATAGATAGATAGATGATAAAACTATTAGATTAAAGTTGCTCGAATCACGCAACGAGATGTGTTATGAAGCCAAAAATATTAATGAGATCGACAAAATGCAGGAACTTGTGGAGAGCCATGATCTCTAACGTGCTATAGAGACATCGCACACGGTTAGAAAATAGAAAGAAAAGAGAATTTGGTTTCCCTTCGAAATGTTCTTTTTTGCGCTGAAGAGCACAGTTGCCAGTTTTGTTCAGTTTTATTAATCAATTCACCCTAAGCAAGGCGATAATGCCACTAAGACGCAAGGGACTACCGGTAGTGAAAAAGAATGAAAAGACTTTAGAAAGAACTAGCAACATAATCCTAAACATGAAAAAAAGAGATATACCTCTACTCCTTTCCAAAAGCCCGGGGAGGAGTAAGAAAACGCTTCTCAGATATTTTAGCTGTCTTCGTCGGATTTTAATATCATTAATTTATAGCTCGCTACCTGGCATTCTGTTTGCTTTTAATTGATAATTAGTCCTTTCTTCCCGCTTTCCTTTCCGACTTTCTCTTGAAGTTCCTACACATTTTTCTGGCTCTACTACTAACCTGGTATCATCTGCATATATTAAATTGCTAAGATTGTCCTCATTGATAATAAATCCTCGTAGGACGTACAGTTTTCTTAGAGTTGCTTTTCAATAGTAGTAAAAATAACAACTGCATCTCTAATATTATCTTTGTGCTGAAAATACAAAACTGTATTTCTAATACGTAATACGTAGGCTGTTGATTGGTAGATTGGAGGTTTTGAGGAACATGGCACCATCTCTTAATTTCTATTGTTCCCTTGCCCATCCTGATCCGAGGTGGTAGCACCTGTTAGGGTCCCAGCTATGGGCAAATAATGATCCCCCCCAAACAAAAGCAGAACACTATGAAAGCATAAAAACATATCTTTATAGTAAAATTAACAGCAATGCAGTTTACAATTGCGTTCAAAATAAATTTAGTTAAAATTGTGTTCAAAGTATTTGCATTTTGGCATTTTTCCTCCCAAGAAAATTAACTTTCAGCATTACATGACCCATAAGAAGTTGATATGCATTTAAACAAACAAATCAATGAATCAATCAATATTACGTATCTCTCTCTCTCTCTCTCTCTATATATATATATATATATATATATATATATATATATTAAAGAAAAAACAGACCACTTTAAGGTTCCATTATAATAATTTATTTCACCAGAGCCCTTTGAATGGGAAATGAAACAAAAATGAAATGAAAATTCACACTTTTTGACGGGTAGTATTAAGTTTATGTAATTTAACAGAGAGGGTAGCAAGGAGTGGTGTGAGAGACATGGTCGAGTTTAGAGAGGGTTTATTTTAATATATATATATATATATATATATATATATATATATCAGTTATATGAAAACTTGGTAATCAGTATATGGGTAGTCCCAAGGAGGATGAAAAGAGCTCAATGTAAATCCAGAGCTAATAATTTAAAAAAAAAACAGAACATTTTAAGGTTCCATTATAATAATTTATTTCACCAGAACCCTTTTAATGGATGCTGGATCATCAGATAACATTTACAAAAAATGAAACGAAAGATGAAATGAAAATTCACGCTTTTGACGGGTAGTATTAAGTTTATGTAATTTAACAGAGAAGGTAGCGAGGAGAGGTGTGAGAGACATGGTCGAGTTTAGAAAGGGTTTAATTTAATATTTCTTTCAATCATACTTAGTATTGGGGGGAAGAACCAGACCTTGACCTATTTAAACGCTTAACTTAACGGAAGTGATATATTGAAATGGGAGGGAAGAAGAGAGAAAAAGAAAAAAGGGAGAAGGGGAAGTAAAGAGAAAGAAGCTGTAATTAGGTTTTACGTAGGAAAAAAGGGGTGGTATATTTTTAGCAATTTATGTAAAAAAATAGATTTTAATGTTTGATAGTAATTTAAATGTTAAAAAAAACACGAAAAAATTAATTTGATGCTTGCTAGCAATTTAAATATTTAACTCTTTTAAAATAATTTAGGGATTTAATATAACTTAAATACTGTATTTATTAACACATTCATAGAGAACACATTAAAAGAATTTTTAAAAATAGAACAGTTTACTGATAGTAATCTTTTAATATTGTAAATGACTGTTAAAGTAACATCTTTATCAGTTTGAATCTAATTCATGAATGTAATTTGTAACTATTTTTAGATTGGTAATCTTACTTACTTAAAGTTTAGGTTTCAAATTAAGATGGAGTAATATTGGAAGGTAATATTAAAGACTTTTTTTCTTTTATATATATATCCCACATATACACCTATGTAAATTTTAAATATACATACGTATGTATCAATCAATATTTGTATGAATATGTATGTATCAATATATGTATCAATATGTATCAAAATATGTATCATTATTGTGATTTTCTTTCTTCGTTTAATGATAATGTTATTAAGCTTATCAGACGTTATGAAAATTTACATAAAAAATTTTATGTTTAACGTTGTTATTTTTTATAGATACAAGTATTTAAATAAACAGTATTAAATAACATTTACCGGCCTGAATGTCCGAGAAATTTTCATAGAAAATATTCGTTCTTTATAGGATTCGAACCTGCATCCTATACGGAACCGTCATATACGCTGACGTGCCTTGACCGCTCGGCCACAAAGAACCTTATAAGCAGTTCTACCGTAAGGTTCTTTTGAGCGGTCAAGGCACGTCAGCGTATATGACGGTTCCGTATAGGATGCAGGTTGAATTCGACATTCAGGCCGGTAAATGTTATTTAATACTGTTTATCATAAACAGAGCATTTGCTTAAATACTTGTATCTATAAAAATAACAACGTTAAACATAAAAATGTCTTTAATAAATAAATTGTCGGACCTTGTCCATTTCTTAACATATATATATATATATATATATATATATATTCGATTATAGGTGCAGTTCAATTTATAATTACATGAATCATTCATACAAACCTCTATATTTGTTTTTTGTATGAATGATTCATTATATATGTGTATGTGTGTGTGTGTATATATATACACACACACACACACATACATACATACATACATACATACACACACATACATACATACATATAGTAGATGTTACTATAGTAAATCGTTTTTAGTAAATTTATTTGCATTGATAAGACCAGGGAAAAACTACTTTCTCATGGACGAAATGATCATCTGTATGAGGTAAATTGTTTGGATCCCATTAATTATAATTCTCACACACACACATAGACACACACACACACAAACACACCTATATATATATATATATATATATATATATATATATATTGGTTGGTGTGTGTGTGTGTGAACTGATCATGTTTTGGCTTGCAGAGCTGCATCTATTTCTCTGTGATTATCAGCATACCATTTTTTGTAAACATGCACTCGTTTGTGTTTTATTCCTGCCTTGTAAGTAGTTCAGATGTGTCCATAACTTGTTAGAAATGAATGTGACTGTATTCATGCGCCTATGAAATTTCCTCTGCATATCTACATACCAACAATCTATATATAAATTGTTCAGCCATCCTAATATATTTGTATGCTCGCGTGTGTGTCGCAAAAGTGTGCACCTGTCGATCGCTGCACATTGTGCGCTGACGTCTGTATCTACAAGCATGCGCAGAAGTTTGGAAATGCATAGAAAATTTGTTTCAATGTGCGCATGCATATTAGTATGGCATTGTGGCTCTGTAACTCTATTGGCTGAAAACGATAACGAGGCTGCAAGTCAGTAACGTGATAAGAGCCAAAAGAGGCTTATCTATGTACAGATTCTTTTCCCTGGCAGCAGTAGTAATCATATGAATTGTGGCAGGAGTTCTTGAAATTATCCTTAATCTTGCTCTAGTCGTAGTTATCAGAGAAATAGTTTTTGAATTAAAGAAAGCAGTAATAGCGTTGTATCGATAAGATCAGTAACAATTGTAATTTGCTATTTTGTCTGGATGTGTGCATTAGATGATATATTTTAGTGATTGAAGCCCGCATTTCTTTTTCACTTCTTTATAAGCTGCTTCCCTTCAGGCTATAAGAGTTCATAGCTCACCTCTGCTTCCTATCCTTTGAAGCTCTTAGCAATATTTGTCTTTTTACTATAATCACCGAAACCTTTTCTGGCCTCCACTTGCACTATCCTGTTAGGTAGGTAACTCGGTGTTTACCTCTGTACAACTTGTTTCCAATAAGCCATATAAGTGTCAAATTCTCCAAGCTTTCTTTCATTGCCATGCGTCCAAGAAATTTCGACCATATTTTTTTGATTCTAAGACAATCTGTACTATTTTTTTAACTTTCTCATTTCTCACAACTGTTATTTTTACCATGATTAGGGTTTTTTTTTTAAAGAGGTGCCAATGTTAAATATTTGGCAAACTTGGACCTTCTTAACAACGAACAAAAAGATTATAAAAAAAGTTTTTTGTTCTTGAGTATTTATATATTTTAAACACTATTTATTAGATTGTTTATTTGCAAGAATAATTTTATACTTATAGCATTCTAAAAATTATTACAATTAAAACTAATGCAATAAAATATTTACCATTTACCAATTTATAAAGAAATAAATAGGAAAACAATTTTTTATTCCTAAGTTTATAAACTTAGTAAATTATTAAAATATATTAACTAACTACAAGGGATTCCTTATTTACCATTTTATCAAGTTCGAATCGATTATTTTGCCAACCATTCCAATATAACAAATTATTTTTGTTGTCAATTCTCAAGAACAAGGAAAATGTATAATTTCACTTTCATGTGTTTGGGTTTAACAAAATTCAAATCGTCGTTTGCTAAACGAATAAACATTGTCGAGGAGTGAAGGCAGCTAAAAATAATAGCGGTGTCAAAGGAAAAACTATCCTTTTGACACTATGTTATTTTTGTTTTGTTTTGTTTGTTTTTTTGGGGTTTTTTAGCATGAACGTTAAAGATTACTGATTTTTTTTTGTTTCTTGTAAATAAAGTTTATTTCTTTTTGTTATTGCAAATATACATTGCAGAAAGATTATAATCCTACACCCCCGCAAAAAAGTACATGTGGGACGAGTTAGCATTTCATTGAGAAAATGTGGTATTATATTTGTACGAATGGTACGCTTATTTACAAAATGTCAGTTTTGGCAGAAAGAATAACTTGCGAGCAAATGAGTCAACAACTGGGATTGACGAGGTTAAATGTTTGGCCAGAAAAAAAAGCACTCCCACTTCCAGGCCTTGTGCCAGCTTTTTTGTATTTCACAAAAATAAATATCCTCAAGAGAGTAAAAATGGATGGCAAAGGAAAACCAGATAAATATTTAAACCTCACATAGAGACTAAAACAAAAAGTGATATATGAACATCACAGTTATACCCATCATACACAGAGCACTTGGAACAAGAATGTGCCTGGGAAATTTCTACAATCTCTTTTTGATTCGAAGTATGTGACCTTTTTCTTTCAAATTTCCCTAAAGCTTCGTCGTTACTCACATGTTCGATATATGGTATTCTCAGCATCTTTCTGTAGAACCACATCTCTTTTGCCTTAAACCTTCTTGCGTTTTTGCCTCTTGTGCCAACCCCTACCGTTCTGCTATTCATTCACAAAAGCTCACTTCATCTGTGAGAAGATTGTTCAGCATTCACTGCCATATAGTCGATCCTGAGAAGACACATCAGAATTCATTATTGGCGGCCACAATCTTAACACCAAACGTTGATAGAAGACGCAGAGAGGAAACTGCAGGATCTCCTACCGAAAGCGGTAAGGGAAAGCGAGAAGAAAGGACTAATCATTAATTGTAAGAAGACAAACTGTATGATTGTCAGCAAAATGAACAGCCCAAGATGCGACTTATGAAGTGGAAATATCAAAATCCAACAAGTACAAAAATTTAAATAACTTCAAAGTGATTTAACGAAGGACAGATATTGTGACATTGAAATCCGAAAGATGCCCTTCAAAAGCTAAGCAAGGTATTGAAAACAAGATATTTTTCTTTTTTTTGTTTGTTTTACCAACCAAGGGTACAGATCCCAGTTGGTCGTACTAATTGAGGGTCTAAGGCGTGCCAAGGGGTGCTGCAACCATTGCAGTAGTGATGTGTCTTGGGCAAGATATATATATATATATAGATAGATAGATAGATAGATAGATAGATAGATCCCAACGCTCTTCAGGTTGGTTTCAAGTCACAGTTGTCCTTCTCCTGGAAAGGTTGCCAACCAACGCTATAAAAACCTGTTTGTCCTGATATTTTATGCTCATAACAGCATCACATATACTGCAGCCATAGCAGCAGCGATGTGTCTTGTGCAACATAGATCCCAACACTGGTTTCAAGTCACAATTTTCCTTCTCCTGGACAGGTTGCCAACCAAGGCTATAAACACTTGACTGTCCTGCTATTTTATGGTCATATCAGAATCACATATACTGCAGCCATAGCGGCAGTGATATGTCTTGGGCAACATAAATCCCCGATAGATTCCAACTGTCTTCAGTCTGGTTTAATTTCATAATTTTCATTCTCATATACCGGTTACCAATCAGGTCGAGGGGGATCAATTTGTTTTACACTTTAACCCATAGCTAGGGGAAGATATGGATTTCTACCTTTGCCAAGTGTATTAGCACGTAAGAATGTAATGAACTCGACTGGAATTCAAACTCAACCATCCAATTCTTCAGTCCAAGCCACTAATTTAGCCACGATTGTCTGAAACTAACAAATTTGTATTTGCTGGCTGAGAATCCAACAGAAATAGTACAATTCTTCTTTTATGTGCCATGTCCCTTCAGGACATGGGCGATCATGGTCCTCCAAAACTTCCTATTCCTTGTTGCCCATTGTTCGGGCTACCAAACCCTCCCGTTTTGCTATTCATTCACAAAAGTTCACTAACTTCTCCTATCTCTATTGCCATGTAAGTGTTAAGTTTTCCAAGCACCCCATCCTCCTTATGTATCCAAGTAATTTCAGATGCTTCCTCCTGATTATTATAATAATCTTTTAATAAAATATCCATTCACGACATAAGGCAATCATCGCTCAGCTTTCTCTCCCTTATTATTCGCGAATTACCACGTGTCTTATCAATGGTTTTGAATTTAGGTTGCCAAACAAAGTTAGATAGACAGGTTAATGCTGCTATTTAACCCATAGCTTTGGCAGGTATGCAAACGATGAAAAGATGTTTCTGAATGATGTTTGTGCGAAAGTGAACGCAACGGCCTCAGTTAACCCCGATAAACAATCCGACTTTACGCGCCCTAACCGCCGAAACTCTCAGAAGCTACGAGAAGGCTTCAGAGACACTTCAAAGATTTCCCTAGCATTACTGTGAGTTGTATTTGAGAAATACTATTTTTAGTATTCGTAGGAATGAAATTGGGGACTGGGGTAGATGTAAAAAGGGTGTGGTGGTGGGTAGAAAGAATTTACTAAGGCGACTTAAGCGTCAATCGTTGTCGTCATCGACAGTAGCAGACGAATGGACGCATGACATTTGGCCCCTGACGAATTCTTTGGCAGAGGGCCAAAGACAAGCGGAATTGAAAGATCACACAAAACGGGCCAAATTCGGGATGTCAGGATTGCGAGTATCATGTCCTGGTGATAGATAGATAGATAGATAGATAGATAGATAGATAGATAGATAGATAGATAGATAGAACGGAAGTGAGTAGAATCTTAGAGAGAGAGAGAGAGAGGAGAATCTGAAAGATAGATATGGAGGGAAGGGGTAGATATATGTGTTTTTTCTTGTCGAAACAAAACTCCACTTTGGCCATTAACTAACATTTTTTTGAAAATGGTTGCCGACAACTTCTGTTTTTTCCAATGATCTTTTTTAAGGATTTTTTTTTTAGAACACTTTCCGCCATTTTTCCTGTTCTGGATTATTTTCTATTGCTTTTGTCTCTGTTGTTTCCTTCCACCATTGTCATTTTAATTCTTTCCTTCTTCCTTTCTTTCATTCTTTTTCTTTTTCTTTCTTTCTTTCTTTCTTTCTTTCTTTCTTTCTTTCTTTCTTTCTTTCTTCACCCTAGTTCCTTCTTTCTTTCTTTTTCTTTCTTTTTCTTTCTTTCTTTCTTTCTTTCTTTCTTTCTTTCTTTCTTTCTTTCTTTCTTTCTTCACCTGAGTTCCTTCTTTCTTTTCCTTTTTTTTTTTTTCTTTCTTTCTTTATTTCTTTCTTTCTTTCTTTCTTTCTTTCTTCTCCTGAATATTGCTTTCTTTCATTTTTTTGTTCATCTTTCTTTTTATAATTTTCTTTATATATATATATATATATATATATATATATTGTTTCTTTCTTTGTCTTACAATATATTCCATCTTTCTTCTCCCTAGTTCTTTCTTTATTTTTCTTTCTTTCTTTCTTTATTCTCCCTCGTTCGTTCGTTCTTTCTTTCTTTTTTTGCTTTCTTTTTCTTTCTTTCTTTCTTTCTTCCTTTCTTTCTTCAACCAAGTTCCTTCTTTCTTTCATTCTTTCTTTCTTCTCCCTAGTTCTTTCTTTCTTTTTTTCTTTTCTTTCTTTCTTTCTTTCTTTCTTTCTTTCTTTCTTTCTTTCTTTCTTTCTTTTCCCTACGTCATTCTTTCTTGCTCTCTTTTTTTCTTCTTTCTTGCTTGCTTCAGAGAGCACCTGGTGAACTTTACAAAGAAATGCTGTTTTTGTGTTTTCCCAATTTCGAGTAATGACGTCATGTGACGTCAACCACCTGTCATTCATCAGATCGACTGCATTGCTGAAATAAAAGCCTCTGAATGAAATATGAACACTTGTCTTTTACTAATCCTCGTCTGACACAAGGCTATAATTATGGGGCTCCCAAAGAAGATCGAATTCACCACTGCGTGGTAATGGCCAACTAGATTAGCTCGTTAAGAACTACCCCACAGTGAGACACATTTGTTTTTATACGGATTAGCTTGATTTGGAAGAAGCCACCAAGTACGAGTCGAACCCAGTATTAACCATTACTCCCCGATGAGGATCTAAGTGAATTCAATATTTTTTTTTTACTGAGATTAGTCCAGTTTGGTGACAGGTCTCAATATGACACATATATTCAGTAGTAATAGTCAACCAGGATAGCTCGTTAACCATCACACCTCAATGAATCATCTCAATGAATATAAGTTTTTTTTTTGTTTTTTTTTAAATGAAGCTTTGTCTAGTTTTGTACAAGTTTGCTAGTACGGGGTACCCAGTGTGGGTCGATTTTAGTACTCACAAGTCAAGTTCAACCTGGGCACCTCGAGGTGGTGTAATGGTTAGAAAACTTGTCTCGCTAGAACAATTATGACTGAGTAGTGAGTTCGATCCTCACTGGGTGCCCCATACTTTCGGCCTTGGGCCATATCTGAGCCACACTTGGAAAATCACTATTGGGCACCTAGGCGTGGTGTAATGGTTAGCAAGCTTGTCTCGCTAGATCAGCTACAACTGAAAGGTGAGTTCGATCCTCACTAGGTGGTACTGTACTGTACTGATGCGGCATTCACCCTGGGCGGATTGAGCCGGCTTCTTCCTGTTATGAGAAGAAGATTCTTGGGATAAATTACAGAAGTAGGGTACCCAGGCCTACTCGAATAACGTTCTTGCTTGCCGCGGGATTACCACAGACGTAGAGACAGGAACGACCAGAAGCCGCCGGTTACCGATGCAGACGCTCCTTGGATTTTCACCAGAGCCCTTGTTAGCCGGCGTGTGTGTCAGACATGTCCGCCTTGGGTGGCCCTACCAGGAACGAAGTTCCGGGCGGCATAGCTCTGACACTACCGTTTACACCCTCCACCGACTGTGAGGTAAGGGTTGGACTTTGGTGGTCCATACTTTCACTAGGTGGTCCATACTTTCGGCCTTTTGCCACATCTAAGCCGGGATTAGAAAATAAAGGGAACCTCGGCGTGGTTTAATGGTTAGCAAGCTTGTCTTGCTAGATCAGCTACAACTGAAAAGTGAGTTCGATCCTCACTGGATGCCTCATGCTTTCGGCCTTGTGCCACATCTAAGCTGCGCTTGGAAAATCTTAAGTCAAGTTTAACCAGACTAGTTTGTTAACTATTACCTCAAGCAGGGTCGTATTTCGTTTTCTTTTCTGTCACTCCAAAATCATTTGTTCTAAGTCCTTTCTCTCTAGCTCATTTTTGCCGCCTTCACATTTTCTTTCTTTCTTTCTTTCTTTCTTTCTTTCGTCTTTTCCCCCCCTTTCCTTTTCATTCCTCTACTTTCTTTTACATCACCTTCCTTCCTTCCTTCCTTTATCTTTTCTCTCTCTATTTTATCTTCACCTTCTGTCCCCCCCTCTCCTTCCTTTCTATCCTTCTGTTTCCTCTCCCTCCTTTTCTTTCCTTGCAATGTTTCATTCCTCATTCATTGTGTCTAACTTCAAAGTATCGTTTTTTTTAAATCTTAACTTCAAAACATCATATCAGAAAAACAGAAAGACTATACAGCGCCAATCATTTGTGCCTGCCTGTCTCGAAAATAAGGGTTTGAAACGTAATTTTTCCTATTTGAGTTTCTAAATCTATATTGTGGACAATGTATTCACTCCCGCCGGCGATAGATGCTTTCAATATTAATAATAAACATTTCACCGAAAGTGTCAACATTTAGCCACGAAAAACGTCGTCAAATAGGATAACTATAGTCAGGGCCGGCCCTAGGGATGCTGGCAACCTGAATATCGGCGCCCTTACAAGTATTTTTTTTCACAAAGAGAAAAACTGAAAATGTAGAATGACAATATACAACTTAATACAAGCCAAATCAAATATTCATTATCCTACCAAAAACATTTTTCTAACTTTTAGATCTGCAAATCTTTTCATAGAAATTTCTACACCTATCATCATTACAAGATCATTTTATGTTGACAAAAGAACCAAAGAATTTAATCTATCTTGAGTTATGAATGACTGCAAGTATGTTTTTATAAACTTTAGTTCACTAAAGTTTCCCTCTCGAACGTATCTCCGCTTGTCTAGGCCAAGATTACATGCATTCATTCTCCTAAACAAGTTACCACCACATGACAACAGAGGTCAGTCATCTTTGCTATTTAACCTATAACTGAGATGAGGAGAGAAAGACTTTATACCTTTCCCGATCATGGCTCTCCACAATTTCCATTTCGTTATTTCTTAGTCCTGTTCACCTACCCATTTTCTCAAGTTCACAAAATATGTTATGCGTTGTTTTTCTTTGTTTCTCTTGCCTTCAGTTTGTCCTGTGAGTATCAGATTTTCCAAGCCCATTTTCCTCATTATGCACCCTAGATATTTCAACTGTCTCGTCCTAGTGATAAGTTTCCTTTTCGTTTCACTCTTCTCTAACTTCTTCTTCATATGCCTTCAGGACATACGCGTTCATGGCTCCCCGCAATTTCTTCTCCTTTGTAGATCTTAATAAGTTTCTCTTTTTGTTATTTCTCTTAAACCCTGTTCTACCATCCATTTACTCAAGCTTAATAAGTATATAATGCATTGTTTTCTTTTGTCCCTCTTTGCTCTCATGCTGTCCCTGTGAGTATCAGAGTTTCCAAGTCCTCCTTCCTCATTACGTGCCCAAAAAATTTCAACTGTCTCTTCCTAATGTTAAGTATAACTTTCCATTTTGGTTCTATTTTCTCCAAAACCTCATCGTTGCTCACATATTCGGTTCATGGTATCCTCAGCATCTTTTTGTAGAACATTTCTGTTGCTTCAATTCTCTTCCTCTTTGAGGAGATTGTCCAGCAATCATTGCCGTGCAATAGAACAGATGTCACGTAACAGTCCAGTACTCTTTTTTTCTGTTTCTAACGAATTTTTCTATCTCTTAATACTCTGCTTAGCTTTTGAAAGGCATCTTTGGCTATCCCAATACGCCTTCGGTTTTCAGTATCGCATTTTCCTTCTCAGATATTGATATTTTTACACTTGTCTGATTTTGGCATCCCCGATTTGGAATTTGGGCTCACCTTTTTCTAATTACCATACATTCTGTCTTCTTGCAGTGAAAATACTCCTATGTCTATATAGCAGACTATGGGAAAAAATATTATCTTACTTTTGGACTCAAAAATCAATGTAGAGAGATGTGTATCTGGTTTAACGAAATTACAGTTCTTTGGATATAGCATCGATCAAATGGGAATAAAATCCTGAAAAATAAATGATACACAATTTCTCAACTTCGATATCATTGTGACAACTTCGATGTTTCATGTATCATAAATTTTTATAGACAGTTTATTCCCAACTGTTCACATATATTGAAATATTTAACTCACCTTCTGTAGACAAATAGTGGAAATAAATATATCAAATTTATCGCTGTAGTGAAAACAGCTTTTCTAAATTCAAAAACGAAAAAACATCTTAACGGAATAAACTAAACTGAATTACATATCGGAAAATTCAAAGGTTAAGTTTTCACTGCAGACGCGTTGGAATTACGTCAAAGAATAGAAAAAGAGACGATACCAAATTTATCCTTTGTTTTTCAGACAAACTGTAAAACGTACAAAACAAATTCTTGGCTACATTTCTGAGATGAGTAACTATTATTATTTACACTATTTAAAACGGTTAAAAAAGCGGATGAGGATTACAACAGATTTCAACGGTTGAAACAGCAGATAAAAAGGCTACGCATTAAGGACATACTACAGAAGGAGCCTCTCGAAATTATAACAGTATCAGCGTCAATCCGTTACAGTTTCGTAAGTGGATTCTGACATCTCATTTCATATGTGCCGCAGAGGAAGATTATGAAATGAAGTGCGTGGGTCACTTGAAATTTGAGGTCCACTTTAAACAAATTCACGCTATCGGCATTTTCTTCTACTCTTGATTTTCTTTCACCTCCTTGCAAAGTCAAACGGCGATAGGGAATGGATGAAGAGGGCATGTTTAGGTGAAACTGGAAGCTTCTAGTCCTGAAACTAAACGTTGACGGTAAATTTAAACGCCAGCATAATAAAGGAAGCGATCAGCAAAGAAGAAATTAAATTCTTGGAGACGAGATCAAACCGATGATTCTTCTCCACTTTAACATCTGTCTATATTTCTGAGATGCGGTATTATACCTAAAGGTTCATTTTTTTTTTCAACTGTATCACTCTTTAATTCAGTAATGCCTCACTTACAGCGCCATTGTTTATTTCCATGGTTTAAGCCAATTTTTCCCATTCTAAAGGTTTTACTTTGAAATATTTAGAATTTTTTATGTTTTATATCCAAAAAGAAAAATAACCGAAAAATGAAATAAAGACAACTTTAATCAAAGATTTTCAAATAATTCTCTTTGAAAATTGTCTTGGAGATTTTTTTTTTTTTTAAATTACAATACACACATCATAAAGGTCACAAACTGATTTTGCCTCAAATGACCCCCGTGGACCAGGAAGGTCGAATATACCGTTACCTTACAATTTGTGAAATCAAAAACATTTTTATAATAAACTAATTATTTATACTATTTACATGTTGACCTCATCTTTATTGTCATATTCACAATGTTTCGGCTGTTGTACGTGTTGACCATGTTTGCCGTAGTCTCTGAATATGGAATCCAGTGAAGTCCGTAATGTGTTCTATATCAGAGGTTGGCAGTGAAGATTCAGAGAAAGTAGAGGCTGTTAAGTAATTCTTTAAGTCTTCGATATCAGGTTGGCAGTGACGATATTTTGGGAGAAAAAAACAAAATGGCTGCCTTTAAACACGTCGGGTTGAATATTTTGAGCTTTCTGATTGGTTAACCCTTTCTATTGGTGAACTATAAAATGAGTCAGATCATTTTGGCTAGCTCACTAGCACATACATGTATCCAAAAAACTGTAAAAGTACGTTCCGACCGTCTTCAGGTGATAGGCGTGGCACGTGGAATTAGAACATTCTACCTCCGTGGAATAAATAAAAAGTTTCGGTTCAAAATTCGAACTAATGTCACCTGAAAAAATGAGTGGACCCAGCTTCGAATACGGGAGGCACCAGACTCCAAAAGCTGGAGGTCTGACCAAAAAGAATCGGGACTGTGGTAACGAAGCTAAACGACGCAGAACGAAGCCGCTTGGGACAGGTTAACCCTGAACTCTGTCACGCATGAACAATAACGTAAAACACTCTTGCTCCTTCCTTTGTTTATAGCAATTTTTGGAAGGGTAGTGTGTAGAATGTGGTCGTCTCACCACCACACATAAAACCTTTTGAAAATGGTCATAACAAGAGAGGAATCGTGGGTCATTGTTATAACCCAAAAGCCACTACATCGGTAGGAAACTGACTGAAGGCGAGATGCCAGGTCAGGACCAATAACACTACAGATTCTTCTATTTTATCAAGAATTTCTAATATGAATCGCAGGAGCACCGTATCATATGTGGCAGCAATATTCAAAGCATGGACAAATGGTAAACTTATAGATATGTAAGATAGATTCTGGAGAGAAAAATTGTCTTGTACAGCACAGTGAATCAACTTTCCTAACAGCAAATCTAGAATTTTATTCAATATAATATTTCCACTTTATGTCAGAAGAAAATGTTAGAGAAAGCGCAATGATTTATTCTCCTGGAGGTTAACATCAGCCATGCTGATGGAAATCAGAAAGAGGTCTCTCAGATGATTGATAGAGAGAAGTTTAGTTTTGAAGACGTTCAAATTAACAAACCATTCGTTGCCCTCGTTAACCACAGACTGCAAATTTGACCATATGGGGTGTATGCAAAGAAGCAGAAAACGCTCAGAAATCACCGTCACTGATCTTGTCTTTGTCGATAAATTGACATCATTAGAGCAGGTGATAGAACCAGCAGTAGTGGGGCAGTGGGCCGATTAAATCAGTGTGCTGCAAAGGTTGATTTGCCCTGCAATACAAAGACAATCGTGCTACCCGTCTTCAACCAAAACAATCCTTCGGAAATGAAAGTAAAAAGTGAACAAACATTGAAGTACCTAAGATCATAGTCACAATTTGTTTTAAAGTGAAGTTCGCCCTGTACAAAGCCCGATAACCACAAAAAGAAGAGGGTTACAGAATAAGTGGCAGTTTATGCGGATAAAATGGGAAGATAAAGGTTAATTCTACACTTGAACGAGTTAAGATTGTACTGATCTCATTTTGTTGTTGTGATGACTATATAAAGTATTTTTCTAACAAAAACAGGAATCAATAAAGGCCCATCATAACATTCTCTTAATTCCTAAATAATTCAGATTTACAGTGTTTGCTATTATATATAAGGGTGTTTCATTAAGACGGATTAAAGTCAGCAGTAAATAAATCAGTGCTATTGGTGAAAATTTATTTATTTCTCTATTGGATAATGCCAGCAAATTCATTAACTGATGCTTTAATTATCTAGGCTAGCATCCTGCGGAAAGTCCTGGTGCTGAAACTCGGAGGCTTAAACCTAAAGTTCTTTCTGCCTTTTTTGCCAAGTCATGGCAATTATGTGTGAAAAATAATATCGCCCACATATCCGCCAAATCTGAAAGAAAAAGAAGAAAATCATTAGACTCTTAAACTTAATTTACATTAAAATCGGTCCATGTTATTGGAACACCCTTTATATAGATTTATTATTCTTTCTCTGTCTCTGTCTCTCTGTCTCTCTGTCTCTCTCTCTCTCTCTATCTATCTATCTATCTATCTATCTTTGTTTTCTTTGGGGTTTTTTTTACAGTAAGGTTCACCCTGTACTAGGCCCGGGCTAGTCAAGGTAGATGGTTACGTTAATGGTTAGTTTATACGGATAGGAGGGAAGATAACGATCAACCCCAGCCATGAACAGATTAAGATTGTAGTGATCGGAGAAACGTCCTCTTGGGAGTCAGTTCCACAGAGCAGTGGTTTGTGGGAAGAAGTTGTTCGAGTGGAACTTACTTCTCACCAATAGAATACGGAGGGAATATGGGTGGTTTGTTACTATATAAGTGGCATGGTGGGTCCTAGCCGTGAAGGTTTTCCCTGGCAGAACCAAGGAATGTAGTTCGTCCGAGCACATTCCAAGTACGTAGGAATAGAACAGAGAGAGGCTTGCGATCATCCCGTCTGTGAGTGAGTGATTGGATAGTGGAAAATTATTTGTCATCCACAAGGATGTGGAGACACTTTTGAACTCTATCGAGACTGGAAAGGGACGACTGGGCTTCTCCTGACCATATATGACAACAGTACTCCATTTTAGGTCTGATTTGGCTCTTGAAAAGGTAGATGATAGCACGAGGAGTCAGGTACTTACTGGATCGGTACAGGGAACTGACCAATTTTGCTGCATCTTTAGAAATAGATCGGAGGTACGAGTTCTACTTGAGGTCTGGTGTGAGTTTAAGGCCGAATAGTCTATCAAGGCATGAAGCCTCCCGAGGGGACACCCATTCATCGTGTCTAGTGGTAGTTCGGGTTCCGATCAGCGATGATTGAATGTAACTATTTTGGTTTTCAACGTATTGTAGGTAAACAGCCAAGCTTTTACCAGCTAAGATGCTAGAGGTCAAATGGGCGAGAGATCAGATGCTAATCTCTGGTCATCACGAATTTTGGAGATTTGGCTATAAGAAAACCACTTGTTTTTGTTTTTAAATGGTTATATGTGTTTATGTGTACATGTGGGGGTGTGGGGGTATGCATAATTGCTTGTATATGGATGTGTATGATGGCGTATAAGACAATACATCAAATGCATACGAGCATATCTGCCAGGAGTAACAGAAAACGAGCCAGTCTCAAGGATCAATAATAATAGTTTGGTTAAACATTACTATTCATTAATTTGCTTAGTCTGCCTTGGGTATTCAACCCTTATGGTCTTGAGCCAAAATTAAGCGACACAATGTAAAAAAGGGCGTATATAGAATAAATATATATATATATATATATATATATATATATATATATATATATATATATATAGAGAGAGAGAGAGAGAGAGAGATAGATAGATAGTGTGAAGCCAGAAATACTGTCAGTCAGTGTAAGACTGAAAGAAAAGACATGTAAGGCAAGTAGACTTTTTCAATAAAGTGCTCGATGTCAGAGATAGAGCATCGTACTCATCAGTAGTATGGTATGTTCTGATGAATGGACGGAGTGATTGCAGGAAGTTCCGTCTACAAAACTCTAGAGTCGTGATGCTGAAAATAACATCAATCAGCTAAGTAACAAATTTTACTTTTGTATTAATCACATACACCACCACACACGCACATGCACACACTCACATACACATACACGCACACACACACACAATTATATATATATATATATATATATATATATATATATATATTACAAAGAAGAGAGAAACCGAAAACGTTTTTGGTTGTAATGTGGATTTTTTAGTAAAATATATATTATGCTTTATTTTCCATAATTTTGCAACACGTCTCGCGGCCTTCTTCAGGCTAAGTGTGTATATTTTCACATATTATTAAAATGAATTAATTTTCCTCATGTTTTTCAATGTTAAACATTCTCAATGTTAAAAACATTCTCTTTTTAGTGACCCAAATGTCTTACTTGAGCTGGCAGTGAGAAAGTTCTTTTGCGTGAAGGGCAATAAAACAATTAAGATTGGTCCGAGAAAGAGTGAGAAAGATATCACTATTCTTATCTTCTAATGACCCCTGTGTGTTCTTAGATCTATTTCCATTTTCTTTTTGTACTGTGTGTGTTTTTGTCAGTATGCATATGTATACGTATATTCACTCTCCATACATACATATTGTCTTGTTATATATTCCCACATACATACATACATACACACACATATACATACACACGTACATACACATACACACATTTCCTATGTTGTGTAGGGTTCGTGTGTGTGCTTGTGAGCCGTCTTGTTTTTTTATATATATATATATATATATATATATATATATATATATATATATATATATATATATTAGTATGCGTATGTATACGCATATTCCCTCTCCATACATATATACTGTCTTATATACACATACTAATTTATTTTATTATATACACTTTTCCCTCGCTGGAACAACTATAACCTCTTCCCTTTATATATATATATATATATATATATATATATATATATATATATATATATATATTGAGGTGGTACTGAGCAAGCGAAGGACCGGATGTTAACCCTCAGAGGTCTAGATAGCAAATGACCAATACTGGTCTTTGCGCACCAGGCTCGACGCATAAGTTCCGGTGGAAAATCAAAAGAAATAAAAAAAGAATATAATAAGCAATTTCCACCAATTAAACGGCCCCGCGCCATATCCAACAGTTTGTTTCAGCATACTGACTCAGATCCGATGGACACACATAAATAGAACGATGAATTCACTTCTGGTCAGAAAGCCTTGAAGTTACCGTCATAGAATGTCGCTACGCTTTTCTCACCCATCAACCCGACGCCTCCAGTTTTTCCTTCACCAACGGAGATATCAAATGACACCTACCAACCCATTGACCTCACCTTTCATCTCCTGGGACCCGCACGACTAAACTTAAGTATTCACAAAATGACACTTTAATTCCTTTCATAATCTGATTTCTTTTCTTTGAATGAACATTTTAATAACGGACTTTGTGCGTGTTAATCAAGAAACATTATACTTATCATTGATGTGTATTTAAATATAAAGTCTTTCTGATATACCCTTCTCTTTCATATTTTGTTTGTTTATGTTATGGTGACCTCAATTTGATTGCTTGTTGAACCTTTAGGCCAAACTAGCAGCTGTCCATAAGTGACTGCTACTGCTTACCTACCTTCTTATACAAGCAACAATTACCAACCAATATACACTTCCCACAACACCACAAGTGTTGACCGCCGACGTGATTTTAACACATATATATACACACACGCACAACAAAAAAAAAATTGAACTGTCACAAAATTAGAATTTTTATTCAACACAAACCAAAAACATGGCAGCTGACGCTGAAGAAACTACAATTAATCAAAACCAACCAATCCAAGCTGTTGCGATAAAACCACCAAACTTCATTGAATCAAACGTAATAGCTTGGTTTGCGATAATGGAGGCGCAATTTAATATTGCAAATATAAGACAGTCAAAAATTTTTTAACACTTTGGCAGCTCCCCCTGTGGACATAGTAGGAAATATACAGCCAACTATACTGCAATCAAAAGATTATGACGCACTAAAAGAAGCAGTGACGGGCGCTTACGAGAAAACAAAACCAGGGATGCTGGACAAATTAATGTCGTCATCGACTGTAACAGGTCGTCCCTCAGTATACCTGAATGAACTTATGTCATTAGCAAGCCGAATTGGCGTAGGGGACGATATCGTACGTCACAAATTTATTCAAGCCCTACCTCACTCCATTAAACCAGTGGTAGCTGCACAAGTCGATTTAGACACAGATCGTCTTGGAAAAATGGCGGACGACTTATTATTATATTTTAACAAACAAGACACCGCACATATTCGACAGATTTCAGGGGAAGCAAAAGGATGAACAGCAAAATAAAAATGAAACTAAAAGGATACATGGCTGTTCCCACAGTGAAAATAAATTCCCTACCAGTGTTCGCCCTTTTAACAAGGACCAAAAACCTCAAATTTGCCGAGCGCATTTATACTTTGCGGAACGTGCAAAATTTTGTAAGCCGTGGTGCAGATGGCCAAATAAACGGAATGTTCAAATGCAACCCAACTCTCGCCCAAATTCACCAGTTCCTCGTGAGACTTCGGAAAACTAACTAGGCGAGAGGTGTTAGCTTCCATTTCCTCGCCGCTTCTCATTAGCCGCACGGTTAGGAGCTCAAAGTTTAAATTTTATTGTGGATACAGGAGCTGCCGTATCTATACTTCCGAAGAGATATTTAAGCGGAGCTGTAACATACCCAACCAATATCTCTTTAGTGTCTGCCAACGGTCAAAAGATTGAATGCTCAGGACAAACAGTACTGAATCTAACACTACGGAACCTCAGACGAGAATTTACCTGGACATTTATAATAGCCGAAACTGCTCAGCCACTCCTAGGATACGATTTCCTAAACCATTTCGGGCTAATGGTGGACTGCACAAACAATAAGCTAATTGATAAAATGACTAATAGACAATCCGATGCACATCCATCGTCTATTATCATGAATATAGATTTAGTACCGAATAAAGATGCTAACAAAATGGTACGAGCAATTCTGGAGAAATACCCAAACTTAATTTCTCCTCATCGCGACACGAATGCAACAAAACCAAAGATATTCCACAGAATAGAAACTGGTAGCAACCCTCCTACTTTCTCCAGAGCCAGACAATTATCAGCTCAGAGATGTGAAATTGCAAAAGAGGAATTCAAGAAACTCCTAAAGGCAGGAATAATTTCCCCTTCAAACTCTGAATGGAGTTCAGCCTTTACATGGTACCGAAGTCAGACGGCACATATAGACCTGTTGGCGATTACAGACATTTAAATACCATAACAAAAGCCGATCGATATCAAGTCCCAAATATAAATTCCTTGTCTTCGAAGCTTCATAATAAGAAGTTCTTTTCAAAGATAGACCTGTCGTCTGCTTATCATCAGATACCAGTACACCCGGAGGATGTTTGCAAGACAGCCATCTCTACCCCTTTTGGGTTATTTGAATATAACTATATGCCTTTCGGACTACGGAACGCATCATGTACTTTTCAGAGAATGATGGACAATATCTTTCGTGATACTGATTATACCTTTGTATATATCGACGATATCCTTATATTCTCAGAAGATGAAGAAACTCATTCCAAGCATATCGACCTAGTACTACAAAAACTGAGTGAGTACGATTTTAAAATTTGTCTCTCCAAATGCATATTTAGTGCTAATGAATTAGACTTTTTAGGATTTCACATTTCTGCTAGTGGTCTCAAACCCAGTGCTAAAAAGTTGAATGAATTAAGTGAATTTCCTCAACCAAACGATTCTAAATCACTATTCCTCGGAATGGCAAATTTTTACAGAAAACTTGTGCCAAATTTCAGCGATATCATACTACCTCACGGAAAAAATACGTTTAAACCAAAATTCCAAGTCATTAACCCTAACAAAGGAAGAAATTGAATCTTTCGAAAATATGAAAAAGTCTTTATCAAATGTAACTGTTTTGGCTTTCCCCAGCTCGAAAGCTAACAACTATCAACTTGTAACAGACAGTTCAAATTATGCGGTGGGTGCAGCACTTCATCAAATGATTGATAATCAACCCATCCCCATAGGTTTCTTTTCAAAGAAATTATCCCAAACCCAACAAAAATATTCTACTTTTGACAGAGAACTACTAGCTGCCTATCTAGCAGTACTCCATTTTAAACATTTAATAGAAGGCAGAAATGTAATGTTACTGACGGATCACAAACCACTTTGCAGTGCTTTTAAAAGCCAGTCTTCCTTAAAATCAGATAGACAACAGCGTCACCTCTGTTTTATCAGCGAATATGTGAATGACATTTCACATATAAGAGGTTCACAAAATATAGTAGCTGATTGTTTATCACGACCTGTCAACGCGATCACTATTGATGTATGTGACTTACAAGAAATAATGAAGCATCAAGCTACTGACAATGAAATTCAGGCATTCAAAGATCAACACACAATAAAACAAAATGAAACCATATTATGTGACACGACATTACCTTTTCCACGACCTTTTGTGACTGAGAAGCTCAGAAAATCGGTATTTGACAGTCTGCATAATCTATCACATCCAGGAATAACATCTTCAAGAAAAATAATAAAATCCAGATACTATTGGCCGAAGATGGACAAGTCAATAAAAACCTGGTGCACAAAATGCCAGCATTGCCAACAAGCGAAAATAATAAAACACACAAAGAGCTAAGTAAATCCATTTGAATTACCTTCCAGTCGTTTTGAAACGGTGCATGTGGATATTGTCGGTCCCTTACCACCAGTAAAGAACCAAACTGACCCTTATTTTTCACCATATCGATATTTATTAACATGCGTTGATAGAAATACGAGATGGATAGAAGCATGCCCAATAACAGAAATTACAGCAAAATCAATATCAACGGCTTTTGTCAAACTGTGGATCTCCCGATTCGGGGTTCCTCTTCATGTCGTTACGGACAGAGGAAGCCAATTTGAATCCGAATTATTCTCAGAACTATCAAAAATAATAGGCTTCCACAGATTACGAACAACGGCGTACCATCCGCAAACGAATGGATTAGTTGAGCGAGCACACAGAACTATTATAGCCAGGAAAGAATCGTGGTTATCAGCTCTTCCTATCGTCCTTTTGGGAATGAGGATAACACCTAACGAATCAAACTATTCTTCATTTACTGCAGTAACAGGGAGTCATGCACAAGTCCCCCGATTATTAATTGACTCTATCAAGAACGAGAATAGTGAAATGACAAACTCGCACGTTAAAATTCTAGCCGACGAGATGCAAAAATTTGACATGGACAAATTATCCAGGGAACACCTGCATACAATACCTAATTCTTACATTCCAAAAGATTTACAAACATGTAAAAGTATCTGGCTAAGAACAGACAGAGTAAGAAAGCCATTGGAAGCTCCATACACAGGTCCATTCCAAGTATTAAGTCGTCATGAAAAATATTTTACTATTAAAAGATCGGATGACGTACATTGTAATGTTTCAATAGATAGACTAAAACCTGCATATATTTCTGAAAATATAAAATCAAAAGATTCCATTGGATCAAGACCGGATTTGGGTAACTCCCTATCTTGTTCCAAAGAAACTAATGATAACAAACCAGAAACTAGAACGAAGTCCGGTAGAACGGTTAAATGGAAGAAAGAAAACACATATTTTTATTACTGATATAACAAAAAAAAAAAAAAAAACAACAACAACTCCGTTTACTGGGGCGAAAGTTATGTGGTGGTACTGAGCAAGCGAAGGACCGGATGTTAACCCTCAGAGGTCTAGATAGCAAATGACCAATACTGGTCTTTGCGCACCAGGCTCGACGCATAAGTTCCGGTGGAAAATCAAAAAGAAATAAAAAGAATATAATAAGCAATTTCCACCAATTAAACGGCCCCGCGCCATATCCAACAGTTTGTTTCAGCATACTGACTCAGATCCGATGGACACACATAAATAGAACGATGAATTCACTTCTGGTCAGAAAGCCTTGAAGTTACCGTCATAGAATGTCGCTACGCTTTTCTCACCCATCAAACCGACGCCTCCAGTTTTCCTTCACCAACGGAGATATCAAATGACACCTACCAACCCATTGACCTCACCTTTCATCTCCTGGGACCCGCACGACTAAACTTAAGTATTCACAAAATGACACTTTAATTCCTTTCATAATCTGATTTCTTTTCTTTGAATGAACATTTTAATAACGGACTTTGTGCGTGTTAATCAAGAAACATTATACTTATCATTGATGTGTATTTAAATATAAAGTCTTTCTGATATACCCTTCTCTTTCATATTTTGTTTGTTTATGTTATGGTGACCTCAATTTGATTGCTTGTTGAACCTTTAGGCCAAACTAGCAGCTGTCCATAAGTGACTGCTACTGCTTACCTACCTTCTTATACAAGCAACAATTACCAACGAATATACACTTCCCACAACACCACAAATATATATATATATATATATATATATATATATATATATATATATATATAAATGGAGAAACGTTAATAATAATATCATTTCGTCCCAAAACATCTATTGAATGAAAGATCGGAAATAATGACATGATGCATACACACTATAAAAGTACTTTTTGAGTTGGTACGAACCAGGATGAAAGTATGTATATTTTATTTATTCCATCTCCAATACAATTTCAATAATCAGCTTTTCTCCTCCCTTTTTATTACTCTTCACTTTGTGCGCTTATATATAAATAATAAAACGTTATGAAATCATGTGGCCTATAGTGTGTCTGCATATAAATATCCTCTGAAGAAGGCCGGAGCGTAAAACGCCTGAAACGTCGTTAATGTGACAATAAAGATACTCAGCTTTTCTCCTCCCCTTTTATTACTCTTCACGTTGTGCGCTTATATATACATAATAAAACGTTAGGAAATCATGTGGCCTATAGTGTGTCTGTATATAAATATCCTCAGATGAAGGCCGGAGCGTAAAACGCCTGAAACGTCGTTAATGTGACAGTAAAGATGAGGACAACAGCCCGAACAATGTAAATAGTGTAAACAGTAAATATACCTCATCTCAGAAATATAGACAAATACAACGACCGAAACGTCGTGAATGTGACAATAAAGATGAGAGCAACAGTCCGAAATATATAAATAGTGTAAATAGTTACAGTACCTCATCTCAGAAATATAGACAGATCCTGAAGAAGGTCGGAGCGTACAACACCCGAAACGTCGTAAATATAGGAGTTAAAAGGGAACAACAATCTGAACAATGTAAATAGTGCAAATAGGAAAATAGTTCTTTAACGATGTAGGGATTGTTTTTTTATTTCTTCTGCTGTAAATGCGCGGTGGGACAGGAAAATTTTTTAACCTTACGCGACTTTATAAAAGATTAATTGTAAATATAACCTTTACTAACGCCACTATATTTGACAGAGAGAGAGAGAGAGAGAGAGGCAGAGAGAGTGGCTTTGTGTGGCTGTGAGTGTTTCCTTTCCACAGGACAAGTTGTCTAAGGCTACCAAATTGACAAGTGTTACTAACCTCGTTATTTTCTCATAATCCAATGTAACCGTCGTTTCCACGTGACAGCTACCATTGCACACAAAACCTCTCTTGGTTCGCAAATTCTTTGATGAGATCGATATCAGTGATTGCAGCTTCAAGCCGGACTAGCCAGACACACGGTGACCCACTCATTCATCAAAGCCGACAGACAGGGCCAGTTGAACCCAGCGCACACCTCCCACCACCAGGCGTTGTCTTTCTGTAAAACAGAAAAGGATTCACTGAGATTTATAGGGTTAATTAAACAACCGCCTTTAGCCAAGTTGATTTGAAGGATTTCAAACGAGTAAGCGACTCTCGGCATTTCTAGTGGGTAGAGAGTTGAGAGTATAATTCCTCCATAAACTGATGTTATATGGAAGACCTCTCTACCCACAACAAGTTCGGAAGTATGACTTTGCATATATATATATATATATATATAGTGAATGTGTGAGAGAGAGAGATAGAGAGAGAGAAAGATGCAATAGATAAATAGATACACGATAGACTGAAAGCTTTAGGGCCATCCTCTGGATTTAGAAGAATGGACTAAAACTTGCGTGCCTTTTTCAAAACTAATTTACTAGTTCATTTCCAGTCAGAGGGGCTTTCTCTTCCTTGGGGCTTTTATCCTATATTCAATAATGGTAAGAACAAAATTAACCCCTTACGGCTAAAATTTGCTTAAAATTTTGACTTATTTTCCTAATCTAACTAGCTTCATAATATTAATCCGAGGACTGGGGGACTTAAAATTTTAGGTAACCTCTCTCTCTCTACAAAAATTGATGCCTTGTATTAATAAGTTTAATAATTTCAGAATTGTGGCTTCGTAGGAGTTAACTAAACCTAAGAAGGCATGAAAATTACTATTAAATCCTGGGGATGACCCCAAACTTTTAGCTGATTGATAGATAGGTAGGAATAGAATGAGATAGATAGATAGATAGATAGATAGATAGATAGATAGATAGATAGATGTTGGCGTACAAGGCGACTGGACGTATAAGACGACCCCCATATGTTCAAGTTAATATGAAGGTTTCTGGCTATATTCGTTGTACAAGACGACCCCACCCTTTCAACTTGAAATATATTTCGGATTTCCTTCTATTGCCGGTAGTTAATAAAACATCTTTTTTTCCTGAACACTCACCAAAGACGAACTGAAGGCCAGAATTATGCCAACATTCACAAACTTAAACAAGGAGACCGTCCAGAAGAGTTACAGATTCGAAGTCGTCTGGAGACCGTGACTGAAGCCAATGGCGATTTTATTGTATAGATTTACTCTAGTATTAGGTTGGTGCGAAAATAATGACGTAATAATGTCGTTTTTTGACATTAAAAAATACGTCAAAAAACGACATTATTACGTCATTATTTTTGCACCAACCTAATATTTCAAGATATGTTTGTGTAATTTTGGTAAATATATCTGTTAAAATGAGATGTCAGTGTTATTTTCATTTTTGCGTAATTTAGACGACAATTTAGCCATCGTCAACTGGATAACCAACGGATGCTGATAAAATTTCTAGGAAATATTTTATCTTTCTACGACAAATAGACCATGTCATTTTTAGCTTACATTATATATTTTTTTATTGGACATACACAATTGTTTGCTGGCGTAAGATTTTATTAAGCATCTTAATATTCTGGACCGTTGCAAGGGTCTCATGCCTCCTAATCTATGATACCCCCCAATGAATGATACGCTCCCCAAATCTATTACACGGCTCCATACGGTGCCCCCTATTCTACTGCATCTCAATTTTCCTAAGGTAGTATCTATATGAAATACAAATTGTATAATGTGACCTAATTATGTACAATAATGGGTCATATGCAATATAGGTGAACAATTCAACTAGAAAAATTGATAATAAATACAATGTCCCTAAATACGCCTGTCATAATAAATGATTCCATCTTAAATAAATCAACATTGTTTTGTGACAATTTTTAACATCAACTTAAGATTTTTCTTATTAAATAGTTGAATAACTTTAACACATTCAACATTATGAATAGAAAATAATGAATTTTATATAATGTTTTTTTCGAGACTTAGCATGATTTCAAAGATTTGCTTGAAAAGAAAAATAGGACGACGTCAAAATCCGGGAATTTTTTCGTCTTTAACGTATATGAATGTAGGTAGAAAAAAAGCAAATGTTGATAAAATAACGAGGGTCACAAAGCACTGCCCCCCCAGTCAGGCTTCTAATTGGGAGTAGCACACACCGGCTCAGTCAAATGCTTATCACATTGTAAATAAACATACATAAAATTGTAATTATTTTGTAATATTATTTTTAATGAAAGTTGGCACGAGTTATAAGAATACAAATATGTGCCAATATGAATTTCAATCTATATCTGTTAGCATTCCAAATAATTATTTGTAGGTCTAAGAATCTTTTATACATTCGCCTAAGGATAAAATCTGTCTGTGTGTCACGACTTTCGTAGAACACCAAAGAGTATACAGCGATCATATAATCAGTCTTTTATTACTAAGATATGACGCTTGCGACATAATAATTTGAATAGAAATATGGCAAAGTATATTTGAATAAATTTGCGTTATTTGTATTTAATTCAAATTTTTAAAATTACTTTAATTAAGCAATGTTTCAATAGATAAAGTTTGTTATTTTTAAATTCATCGTGCTTGTATATAAAAAATTAATATCTGCCTTGACAAAATTCACTTTTCAGTTAGCGGAATTTTAGCGTTCATCGTAACCATTGTTGTCGACTGACATTTCTCATTGCTATTCAAGCGGATCTGTGAAAAAATTTAAATAAAGATAAAAAAAATAATAATTTAATTAGATTTCCTGTTAGATTTTCTTAAAATGCACTCTATTAATAAAACAAGTAAAAAATAAAGTAAGTTTGCTAAATTAATTGTTGTTATTATTATTATTGTTATTATTATTTAATTATTTCACTTCAATGAAGACGATAATGCCATTAAGCTGCAAGGGGTTACTGTGAATGAAAGAGAATGAGAAGACTCCAGTGAGGAGAAAGAAAAATAAATGAAGAGGATTCAGAAAAACAGGAGACGATGATTGACGTTGCATATACATCTTTGAAGATTTTAGGTGGCAAGGAAGCAAGAAACCTGAAGCGAATTCCAAAGGTATGAGAAGAAACTATTAGAACTTACGGTTCCATCTAGTTATTTCAACAGTAAAACGATAAGACCTAATTGCCAATCGAGTAGTTTGCTTCAGTTCACGAAGTCGTGGCAGTAAAGACAAAAGATCAGCAGAACAGTTGCCATGAAAATATTTGAAGAAAAGACAACGGAAAGTACAGCACAGCCGTAAGGAAGTGACTGGAGTCGAGATGCCAGGTCAAGATCCATTTAACTGCAGATTATTCTTTGAATTTTGTGAAGAATTTCGAGATCACCAAACCATATATGGCAGAAATATTTGATGCACGGACTTTTTCCTTCGTAGTCAGGAATGTGTTGAAATGTTCGTTATACAGGAATTGTATAAGAAGAGGTAAGAGATTTCTTTTAAACTTATAATTTTCTTTTCTCAGTCCGCACGACGAATATTTGGCTAGCATGATAAATAAATATATGTTTAATAGGAGACTTATTGATATTTATTTTTCCATTTCAGATTCTAATGATTGTCATTGGTCTTACGAATGAAATGCCTTCAGAAGATGACCGAGATATTGTAAAATTGCTGAGGGAGGCGAGAAAATTGTTGCAAAATTTGCAAAAGTTGAACACAGATGATAAATCAATCGAAAATAAATTGAAACGCAGGAAAAAGCCGAACAAAAAAAGTAACTGACTTTAAAAGTATTCGCAAAAAAGTGATTTCAAGAGAAATAGACGCTCATAAGGAAAATGTTGATGGAAACAGGAAAATATTTCAGGTTGGTGTTGCAATGTTGCGAATGTAAACACAGAGAAGAAAAAAACAAAGAAAAGGTATTCTTTAAAGACACTAAAGCAAAAATCTTACCGTATTTAAGTATTTGGTTGATGGGGAAGAAATATTTGAAAACTGATGTTTAATGATGAATATAGAGCTGCTGGTTGCTGGTCGATCAAACACACAAAACAGATGACAAAACTAGAAAATTAAAATAATGTCTTACGCCGGTATTGTAGACAGTAAATATACAGGTTACTTCAAAGATTATAGCGGCCTAAAATAAATGTAGATAATTATTATTATTAATATATACCTATATATCTGAGATGAGATATTATGATTACTTGCATTATTTACATTATTCGGACTGTTATCCTCATTTCATTGCCATGTTCACAATATTTCGGCCGTTGTACGCCTCGTCCTTGGAATTTTGAATTGAACCCTTTATTTTGTCCACTGGGATAGATTGTTCTAGTTCTACGTGCCATGCCTCAGTTATTTCCCTTTAACTCAACACAACTGCTGTGGCCTTGTATTGAACTCACAACTCTTTGGGTCCAGTCACTGAATCTACCTAACGTCTTTATCCACAATGACACATGGCCGAGTGAATAAAGACATTGTGTAGATCCAGTGACTATACCCAAACAGGGAGAGTTAAAGGGAAATAACTGAGACATGGTACGTGGAACTAGAACAATCTACCCCAGTGGACAAAATAAAATGATCGGTTCGAAATTTCAATCACCTTAAGAAGGCCGGAGCAGGCAAACATCGAAACATTGTGAACATGGCAATGAAGATGAGGATAACAGTCCGAATAATGTAAATAATGCAGGTATTATTATTAAATTCTTAAGAATGACGTCTTTAAATGATAACGGTCACAATAATAAACATTAAGTAAACGGGTGTATTTATTTGCCTTCTTGGGCCACATTTTTGTATTTTTATTTTTAATATATATTTTACTAACCCAAAACGTTTGCGGTTTCTCTCTTCTTTGTAAATATATATATATATATATATATATATAATTGTGTGTGTGTGCGTGTATATGTATGTGTGTGTGTGCGTGTGCGTGTGTGGTGGTGTATGTGATTAATACAAAAAGTAAAATATGTATGTATGGAGAGGGAATATACGTATACATATGCATACTGACAAAAACACACACAGTACAAAAAGAAAATGGAAATAGATCTAAGAACACACAGGGGTCATTAGAAGATAAGAATAGTGATATCTTTCTCAGTCTTTCTCGGACCAATCTTAATTGTTTTATTGCCCTTCACGCAAAAGAACTTTCTCACTGCCAGCTCAAGTAAGACATTTGGGTCACTAAAAAGACAATGTTTTTAATATTGAGAATGTTTAACATTGAAAAACTTGAGGAAAATTAATTCATTTTAATAATATATGAAAATATACACACTTAGCCTGAAGAAGGCCGCGAGACGTGTTGCAAAATTATGGAAAATAAAGCATAATATATATTTTACTAAAAAATCCACATTACAACCAAAAACGTTTTCGGTTTCTCTCTTCTTTGTAATAATATATATATATATATATATATATATATATATATATATATAAAATTGTGTGTGTGCGTGCGTGTATGTGAATGTGTGTGTGTGTGTGCGTGTGCGCGTGCGTGTGTGGTGGTGTAATGTGATTAATACAAAAGTAAAATTTGTTACTTAGCTGATTGATGTTATTTTCAGCATCACGACTCTAGAGTTTTGTAGACGGAACTTCCGGCAATCACTCCGTCCATTCATCAGAACATACCATACTACTAATAAGTACGATGCTCTATCTCTGACATCGAGCACTTTATTGAAAAAGTCTACTTGCCTTACATGTCTTTTCTTTCAGTCTTACACTGACTGACACCATTTCTGGCTTCACACTATCTTTGTTTATATATATATATATATATATATATATATATATATATATATATATATATATATATATATATATATATATATTTATCTATCTATATCTATCTCTGTATTTTACAAAACAATTATTACTTTTCCTTGCTTGATGAATTTAAGCGCAGTACTAGACTGGCGGCAAGGTCTCATCATTTTACAGTTGAAATAGTGGCTAGATGTAACCATGTTCTATGATAAGCTTGAATATTCGGAAAATCTTGTTAGAAAAATATACTGTTTAATGAGTAAAATTAAAACAGAATATCTACACATATATGAGTATCTATTAAAAAGAACGTTTAAATAACAAAAAACGTGTTGGTATATTAAAATGAGATTTTATTCCGTCGTAAAATAGACCATTTTTTTCCACAAAGACTAGATTCCTACAATTAATTTTCATGATCTAATAATTAGGAATATTTCTATTTGTTACGAGAAAAATAGTTCAAGACAATCGTTTCGTCTGCAAATAAAGAATAATAAAACGTATTCTTCAGTGATATTTCCTTCCTTTGCGCCAATTGACATTCCGAATCGATGGCAAATGTTTGCAGTTTGAAGAAACAAAAGAGAAGTCAGGTTGAAAGAAGAAACGACTTCCAGGAGTTGGTCTTTCGTCATCGTTCGATATTTTGCAAACGTCATTCATTACAATTTCATTCCCAGTCGTCATGGAAACAATTAAAAATCGAACAGACTTCAGATCACGAAGTCTTTCTTTCATTGTTTTTTATTTTATTGCAAACGTGCAAAGTTTTATGTGTGAAACATAGTTTCTAAGTTGAAAAGTCACAGAAAGATACAAAGGAAAAAGGAGAAGAAAGAAAGAAAGAAAGAAAGAAAGAAAGAAAGAAAGAAAGAAAGAAAAAAACGAGGTAAAAAGCGAAGAAGGAAAGGAAGTAAGCTAAGAGAAAATAAGATATTGGAAAAAAAAAGAAAGAAAGCAAAGAAAGAAAGAAAAGGAAGAGAACTTAATATATTACAAGAAGAAAGAAAGAAAGAAAGAAAAAAGAAAGAAAGAAAGAAAAAAGAAAGAAAGAAAGAAAACGAGGTAAAAAGCGAAGAAGGAAAGGAAGTAAGCTAAGAGAAAATAAGATATTGGAACAAAAAAGAAAGAAAGCAAAGAAAGAAAGAAAAGGAAAATAACTTAATATATTACAAGAAGAAAGAAAGAAAGAAAGAAAAAAGAAAGAAAGAAAGAAAGAAAGAAAACGAGGTAAAAAGCGAAGAAGAAAAGGAAGTAAGCTAAGAGAAAATAAGATATTGGAACAAAAAAGAAAGAAAGCAAAGAAAGAAAGAAAAGAAAGAGAACTTAATATATTACAAGAAGAAAGAAAGAAAGAAAGAAAGAAAGAAAGAAAGAAAGAATTTTAAAAGAAACAAATCTTTTCGGAAAAGAAAAAAAACTTTGATCACGCACACGTTGCCTAATTCTGTGAACGGCTACAGGCTGTTGTAATTTGAGCTGAGATTCATCTTCTTGAAAAACAGCAACAGGCAGCAACCATTATGCGACAGCGGACATTTTTTTTTTTCTAATCACTATTTGTCACCTTCTACCTCCTTTTCCTCTTTTTCCTGCACCTCCTCCTCCCCTGCTAGGTTGACGAGCAAAAAAAGTACGGGAAAAAGCAACGGGAAATTCAATCATCATGAAATTGATTAGAAAAAGTTCGCACCTAACCACGTCTACACGAAGGTACACACACACACACACACACACACACACACACACACACACACACACATACATATTGATATATATATATATATATATATATATTGATATATATATATATATATATATATATATATATATATACACACATATATATATATATATATATATATATATATATATATATATATATATATATATATATATATATATTCTCTTTATACGTTATTTTTATAGATATAATTTATTTAAGTAAATTCTGTCTTTTTTATTAAACAATATCCATTACATTTACCGACTTGAATGTTCTAGAAATTTCATAGAAAATATGTGTTTCTCTGACAGGAATCGAACCTGTGACCCTTAATGAGAAGCATCATTTGACCTGATGTGCTGTTAGCCATTCAGTCACAAATAAGCTTCTGGTTAATAAACAGAAATTAGAACTTTACTGACCAGATGCTTCTTTGTGGGGGGGATGATTAAGAGAACACCAGATCAAATGATTAGGTTTAAAAAGGATTTTGGTGAAATAAATTATTGTAATGGTACCTTAAAGTGGTCTGTTTTTCATTAAATATTAGCTCTGTTCTTCACATTGAGCTCTCAGGATTTCATCCTCCTTGGATTTACCAATTCGATTTACCAAGTTCTTCATAGCTTAACTATATATATATATATATATATATATATATATATATATATATATAAAAGATAATAAAAACGAATTAAACTCACAAGTAACTTTCGTGCTTATCGCTTCCTCAAAATACCTAAATTTTTACTTTAAATTGCAAAACGTGGGAATTTACATCCTGATATTTGCTTTGCACCGCCTACTACACACACACAGACGACACACACATGCACACACTCACGAATAAATTTATTTTCAAACGTGTAGATTCTTATTTATACAGACTGGGAGCGCGCAAATATATCAATTCTTTGTATGTGAACACTTCGACGTTATTTCAGTCTAAAGCAGGTGGTTAAAATAAACATTTGTCTTCAGGGAAAAATTGAACCATCTTTGTAAAGTGTTTTAACAGTGAGGCGAACAATGTGACACCGAAATCCGAAGGAACATTGGAATAGTGGAAGATGCCTTTCAAAAGCCAAGCAGAGTATTAAGAAACACGAGAATTATCTATAAACAAAGAAAATAGTGCTGTACTCTGTGTACTATATGCCCCCCCCAACTCTCTCTGACAATAAGTGTTGTATATTCTTACTATTGGAGAAGATACATTGAGTAACAGAAATATGGTTCTACAGAAGGATGCTGAGTATATAAGAATTGTGCAGCTTGGTTTGGTTTGTTTAACGACATATCAACACTTTATGATTCGCTAGCAGTAGAGCCCGGCGTTGCCCGGGGATGTAACAGTAAGAGATAGATCAAGTATCCACCATCATAAAGACTGAAAAATAAAATTGACAAAGATTATTTTTTTAAGGTTGACGGACATGCATGTCTTAATTAGTTGTTTTTTTTTTTTTTACGAATTAGTCAAACCCAAACTCAAAAAAAAACATTGTTTTCAATCGTTATGAGTCTATCGATTGAATAGAATTTTATTATAAACAATTGTCTTGTAAATGGAATTTTTAAAGCATTCTGAATGTAAAAATAAAGAAAAAAGTGTGCAAGACAATAAGAAACACTACCTGCCAAAACAAGTGAAGTTTTGTTGAAATCGGTTGAAAAATGTAGGAAATATGATCCCATATATAAACGAACACAGACACACACACACAAACAACCTGGGTTTTATAATAAGTATAACTCGATATGAGTTGTCCCCCTTTCATTCTCGTGACAGCGATGCCTCTTAATCGTGCTTTCAAATTGATTTCGTGCAAAAACAATTGTGTTTTCCAATTTTTGGTGCTGTCAGAACCACCACAAGGTAATTTTACGTAGTCCTGTGAAGTTTTGTTGAAATCGGTTGAAAAATGTAGGAAATCCGATCCAATATGTAAACGTACAGATACACACACACAATCTGCGTTTTATAATAAGATTTAATGCAAAAATTTAATTTTCTTGGGTTTCTTTTTTTTAGCCGGGTGGGGATTTAAATGCATTGCTGATAATTTTGTTCTTCCTTTTCCAATAATGTATTCCTGATACTATTTACCATGAAAATGTATTGAAATTATTCTTACAAATACTTTCATAATGTTTTGACCCCATTTTGAGGGGTTCACTATTTGCCCATAGCTGGCAAGCGTAAACGTGCTACCCCCTCGGATAAGAGTGGACCGAGGAATAACTGCATTTAAGAGGTGGCTCCACGCTCCTCAAAACTTCCCAGGCTCCTTGCTGCTGGATGTAGTTTATCGTCATACCCAGAACGGAGTGAAGCTCGGGTTATTACTTTGGAGATCTTGAAAGTGTTCGACCGGTTTTGGCATTCCGATCTTTTTCACAAGTTAAAGTTATGGCATCCCCGGAACGAAATTATGAACTGATTCAGTCCTTCTTATCAAATTGTGAAAAGAAAGTTCTCTTGAATGGCCACTCTTCTAGATCCTTTTCTACTAATGCAGGTGTCTCGGTTCTATCTTTGCTTCTATTTTGTTTTTAATTTTCAATAACAACCTTCCTGATAATATCAACTCTCAACTTGGTATCTATGCTGATAACACATCCATTTACTCCTGTCTTGATGCTAAAACTGATCAGTTCGATGAAGTCAAATTGGCGGCTGATGTCATAAACGACCTTCAGTCTGTTGTTAACTGGACCAAAAAATGGTTCGTTAACTTCAACGCCTCTAAAACAAAACTGCCCTTTCTGAGGGACCACTTTATACCTTCTATCAGCATGACTGATGCTAACCTCGAGGTGTGTGACTCGTTACGCCTTCTAGGGCTAAGCCTGTTCACTGAGTCACCAAAGACAATTTTTCTCTCCATCTTACATATCTATAAATCTACCATTCATCCATTCTTAGAATATTGCCGCCACATATTGCTCCTGTTATTTATTTAGAAATTCTTGATAAAATCCAAAAGAGAATCAGCAATATTATTTGCCCTGATCTGGCGTCGCAGGTTCTGTCACTTTCCCACCTCCGTAAGGTTGTCTCCCTTTGCTTTTTCTATAAATACTTTCGTGATAATTATTCCCCTCCTCTACAGACATGCATTGTACATATTGGGATTAGTTAAGACTTTCACAGAGACATTGAGGCATTATGGTGGATGATGTAAGAATGTTAATAAGGAGCGTTGTTTTGGTGTAAGGAATATTGTTGTATGTTTGGGTCAGTGCTTGTGGCTGGCTAAGTTTAATGCTAAGACAGAAGAAGACCGTCATTTTCCCCCATTTTAGCCTTGTTCCACATTTCTATACGTAATGCGGAATATCGCTATTCGCTATGGTATCTAAACTTCAAATATTTAGGTGCAATACTAGATTGGCGGTTAGGTCTCATCAATTTACGGTTGAATTGGCTAAATGTAACCGTAAGTTCTATGCTAACAGTTTCTTTTTTCGCAATTCTTGCTTTTGGAAATTTATTAAGTCTATGCTTTCCGAAACAACTTTGATTTTCAAAAATTTAAATGCAATGTCAATCGTTATCTGCTGTCTTCCTGAATCCTCTTCTATTGTTCTCGCTCCTTCATAATGTTTTTTCTCTATTCTAATTCTTTCACGCTCAGTAACTCGTTGCGTCTTAGTGGCACGGTGGAGTAATGGATAGCGGCTTGGATTGAGGAATCGGAGAGCCGAGTTCGAATTCCAGTCGAATCCATTACATTTACTTATGTGCTAATAACCTTGGGAAAGGTGTGAATCCTCTTTCTTATCCCTCCAGCTATGAGTAAAATAGCAGGACAGACTGGGTTCTATAGCCTTGGATGGCAACTAGTCTAGGAGAAGGAAAACTCTGAATTCAAACCTGCTCTTAGAGGAGGGTGAATGGAGTCTCTCTGAGCCTTGGTTGGCAATCCATTTAGTGTTGGTGTCACGATGAAAACACCCTTGATAGCCCTAGCGAAGCATCAAGAATTCATCTATTTGACAAGATTATGAACTACACCAATCAAAGTATTGGTGAGTTCAATCTCGGCTGAGGCCGCAAGATGATGATGATGATTGCCTTGCTTGGGGTAAATTCTATTAAAAAATATACATGTGAATAACGTAGAAATTTTAATGACAATATTCAGAAAAAGGGCGCTTATAATTAAACTCAGAAATCATCAGTTGAGATGATGAGGAAAGAAGGCTTGGAGAAAAGCAACGGATAAGATACCTAAGAAGCTTGGGTAAATGAATGGCAGAACAGCGATGAATGGGGAAAAGACAAAACTTTTTACAAAGGATCGAAAGATGTGAAGAACGATAAACGTCCATCTCCTTAAGAAAACAGCACATAAAAGATTCCAATGCCTTGAATATGTTTTCTATGGATGATGTCTTGATCATTTTGACCACTGTGGTCTCGTGAGCAAACATTTGGCATTTTGGAAGTTTCCTCAAGTGATATGTGATAGAACGCATCTAAAATAAGTCTCGTGACTTCAGAAATGATCTGACGTTATCCGAAGTTAATCAAAACTCGCAAACACTTAATCATTTATTCTTAGATGATATCTTCTAGATAATTGCTTTTTCTGACTCTTTTTTGTTAAGAAGGTCATAGTAATCGTGTTGATATTAATATTTTAAGTGCCAGACAGCTTTAACTTGACACTGTGTATCATAATCAGTTCGATAAAGTCATATTAGCAGCTGATCTTTCCGTTGCTAAATGGGGCCAAGTGTATCTCGTTCATTTTAACGCTTCCAATGCATAACTGTTCTCTATTAATCGTTTGAGAAAACCGTTTCTGGCTTCTATTCACAAGGCTGATGCTAACCTCCAGCAGAGTGTTACAATACGTCTTCTCAGGCTAACGTTTTCCGCTGATATGAAGTGGAAATATTATATTGAACTAATTGCTATATCTGTTGCTAGGAGAGTTGGTTCACTGTGTCGTGTTAGGCAATTTTTCTCAGCCGAATCTATCTAACATATTTATAAGTCTACTATTCGTCCTTGCTTTGAAGACTGTGCTCCTGCTATATATTTAGAAATCCTTAATAAAATCCAAAAACGAATCGGCAATGTTATTGGTCCTCACCTGGCAGCTACAGTCACTTTCCCACCGCCGTAATGAAGCTCCCCTGTGAATTTTCTTTAAATACTTTCATGGTAATTGTTCGTGATTAATTTTTCCCCTTGACACCTAGACTTTATGAATTTAAGCGCAGTACGGAAAGTTTTCATTATTTTACAGTTGAAATGGCTACATGTAACCGTAAGTTCTGTTTTAACAGTATTCTCGCACCTCTCGCTTGTGGAACATTCTACTGGTTTCTTTCTTCTCAGTGAAATTTGATCCTCAAAAATTTAAATACGAAAATGTAAATGCAATGTCAATCGTTATCTTCTGTCTTCTTAATTTTTGTTCTTTTATTGTCCTCTCTCCTTAATAGTTGTTTTTCTCATATTCTCTAACACTCAGTAACCCCTTGCGTCCTATTGGCTTTATTGCCTTTGATCTTCAAAAATTTAAATACAATGTCAATCGTTATCTTCTGTCCTTTTGATTCTTGTTCTTTTATTGTCCTCTCTCCTTAATAGTAGTTTTTCTCATATTCTCTAACACTCAGTAACCCCCTTGCGTCCTAGTGGCTTTATTGCCTTTGATCTTCAAAAATTTAAATACAATATCAATCGTTATCTTCTGTCTTCTTAATTCTTGTTCTTTTATTGTTCTCTCTCCTTAATAGTAGTTTTTTCTCATATTCTCTAACACTCAGTAACCCCTTGCATCCTAGTGGCTTTATTGCCTTTGATCTTCAAAAATTGAAATGCAATGTCAATCGTTATCTTCTGTCTTCTTAAATCTTGTTCTTTTATTGATCTCTCTCTCTCTCTCTCTCTCTCTCTCTCTCTCTCTCTTTCCTTAATAATGATTTTCTGTTTTTGTGTTTTTTTATGTTCTTTCACATTCAGTAAGAACCTGCGTCTTAGTGGCTTTATTGCCTTGCTTGGAATGAAATTATTAAAAAGATATTTTTTAAATTTCCTATTAAAAAACTTATATCTGTAAAGTATACGAACATCCTTCTCGAAAAGATATTTGAAACATATTTTAAAAATATTTAAAAAGTATATAAAAGATATTTAAAATATATTTAAACAGATTTAAAAATATTTAAAACATTTAAAAAATATTTAAAATATTTAAATATATTTAAAATATATTTAAAAGATAGTTAAACATATTTGGAACTTATTTAAACCTATTAAAAACATACTCAGTGGTTTTCATGTGTTAAATTGTCCATTGCTTACTTTTTGGCACCATTTCCTGAACAATAATTATCAGCTTTCGACATAACTTATATATTTATCAGAAACTATCCGTTTGCTTTTTCTTTTTAACCATTTTTCACCCAATACAAGGCCAAAGTGCCACTCAAGCTAGAGGATTTACTCAATGAGGAATTTGTCATGGCGTACAAGAAGTGAGTAATGTTTGCATATTGTGTGGATGTGTAAGGATTGACCTTAGACTTGAAGAGGGTAAAATTGTAGTGATCCAGAAAGCATGCTCTCGTGAGTCTGTTCCACATTGCAACAATTCTGAGAAAGAAGTTGTCTTGGTAGAACTTCCTCCTTACTAGTGGAATATGAATGAACGAACTCAGTGCACGTGATTGGTGGGAGGGGCTTTAGTTGTTTATTGATTCGTTTTTTACGGTTTATCAACCTTTTTCATGCTATGTAAAGCCAGAAAATATATTTTTAGAATGTACAGATTATCTTTTCTAGTTGATAATGGTTTAGGGATACAATTCTTACTAATTAACCCATAGCTGGGGGAGAGGATGTGGATTCCTAACTGGGATTGGAACTCAGCTCTCTGATTAACAATTTCAAGCCATGATCGATTATATCGCCAGTACCCACGAGCGTACTCAAATAGTCACCCAATTAGGTACTGACCAGGCCTGACGTTGCTTAACTTCGGTGATCATAGGGGAACCGGTATGTGGTCTTAGGCTGAGAAAAGATCCAAGGGAGATGTGATTGTACCGATGAATGAGCAACGTGAAAGTTTTAAGCAGAATATGATTTTTATATACTTTGAATTTGAAATAGAATTGAACTTCTAGGGGTATATAATGAGGAAAGAGGGCCAGGAGAATTTAATACTCACTAGTATCTTTCAGAATTTCAGCTCAGTATGGAGGCATGAAGATGGGGTGATGTTTTTGTTTTTGTTTTTTTTTTACCAAGCGAGTTCATGCGAAATGACGAAACAGAATCGATCGGGAATTGAATCCGGCAAGTCGGAGTGACTTTCCCGGGCCGAGAACCGTCACACATTGACATCCAAGTAAATGTGTGGCGATAACAAAAAGAAACCTGAAGAAAATATACAGAGAAAAAGGAAATAAAAAATATTCATCGAAAATAAGAGACGCGAAACATAGAAGAAATGTAGAAAAAAAGAAAGAAAGAAAAAGAAACAAGAAAAAGAAAAAGAAAGAAGAAAGAATAAAAGAAAAAGAAAGAGAAAAGTAAGAAAAAGGCAGACATTATTGGAAGAAAGAAAGAAAGAAAGAAAGAAAAAGGCAGACATTATTGGAAGAAACAAACAAACAAACAAAAGAAAGAAACAAACAACGAAAAGAAAGAAAAAAGAAACAAACAAGAAAAAGAAAGAAAGAAAGAAAGAAGGAAAAGAAAAAATACAGGAAGAAATAAAGAGAAAAGAAAGAAAGAAAGAAAACAAAGAAATTAAATTTAGAGAAAAAAGAACGAAGTCGGTGCCATTATTCCTTTAAACTAACCTAAAATGACGGTATATTAAAAAAGCGACATGAAGAGGAAAAAGTACAGTTATGGCGAATTTGTCGAAATAGACTGAATCAACGTTATTTATAAGAAATAGGCGTTGTCAGGGCGAAAATAAAACGTTTGGTTGTGTATGTGTATATATATGTATGTGAATTTGTGATTTTATAAACCGTCACCCCCATTAATGGTCGAACTCTTCGCAACTTACTTTCGTACGATAACAAATATCTCAGCAAAAAAGTGATCAACTTGTCAAAGTACTCAGCCAGAACAAATAAAAGAAATATAGCTTAATGTTTGCAACTTTGAATTGGTGAAATGTTGGGGGCCATTGCGCTTCCTCTCCATTCTTTTTAGCCTACGAGAATGTTCAAGAATTTGTCTGAAAAAAATACGAAAAACTGAAAAAGGTCAGAGGGAAACGTTTGTAAAAATACGAGATGGCATTTTGCCGCCCCCACCTCCCAACAGAGTGTGCTACAAGGCGGAGTTTACTGTAGGAGTCAAAAGACGTAAAATAATCCAGTCGCCACATTCACCCTAGCCACCCACTCAAGATAGAGGCATGAGCTGGGGAAAGGATTCCCTGGGACTGAATTTAGATCATTTTGACCCTATCCGGACCGAAAGGTCAAGAAGCAATACGATGTCAGTCAGTTGCCATACGTGATACATGCTTGGGAGATCATGTCTCTTTCAATTTATGATTGATGAGGCAGAAGATTTTCCCGCAGAAGATTGTCCTTTTTTATGATAGACTGGTTGCTAACCAAGGCTATAGGACCCAGTCTATTCTGCTATTAAACCATGATAACAACAGTCAAAAAGTTAAGTGCCATACATGATACACGTTTGGGCGATCATGTCTCTTTCGATTCATGACTGACTAGACAGAAGATATTCCCGCAGTAGGTTGCCGTTTCTTTCTATGCTAGACTGGTTGCCAACCAAGGCTTTAGAACCCAGTCTTCCCCGCTATTCAACCATGATAACAACAGTCAGTCTGTTAAATGCCATACGTGATACACGTTTGGGCGATCATGTCTCTTTCGATTCATGACTGACTAGGCAGAAGATATTCCCGCAGTAGGTTGCCGTTTCTTTCTATGCTAGACTGGTTGCCAACCAAGGCTATAGGACCCAATCTGTCCTGCTATTCAAACCATGATAACAACAGTCAGTCTGTTAAATGCCATACGTGATACACGTTTGTGTGATCATGTCTCTTTCGATTTATGACTGACTAGGCAAAAGATTTTCCCACAGTAGGTTTCCGTTTCCTTCTATGGTAGACTGGTTGCCAACCAAGACTATAGAACCCAGTCTGCCCTGCCATTCAACAATGATAACAACAGTCAGTCTGTTAAATGCCATACGTGATACACATTTGGGCGATCATGTCTCTTTCGATTCATGATTGACTAGGCAGAAGATATTCCCGCAGTAGATTGCCGTTTCTTTCTATCGTAGAATGGTTGCCAGACTCTCCTGCTATTCAACCCATAACTGTCGGGAAAAATGAGGTTTTCATACTCTTCCCAAGGGTATCTACGCGTAAGTGAATGTTTGTTTATATGTTTCTTTAATGGCATATCAAGGCCTTGCTGCCGGATGTAATTTATCGTCATACCCAGGAACGGGTAAGCGAATGTAACGAGCTCGACTGAAATTCGACAGGTCATACTATGTAAAAATATATATATATATATATATATATATATATATATATATATATATATATATATATATATGCCCAATATATATATATATATATATGCCCAATATATATATATATTATAAATTAACTGATTTAATATATTTTTCGCTACAAAGTAATAACCATGTTTCAAAAATGGAAGCTAAAAACTTTAAATTTAATTTTGTAATTAAATTAAAAACATTAGTTCCATTTCAGCAAATGACAAGATTTTCGATGAACATATTAATTTCTATAATCAAGCTCTAAAAGAGAGTGGCTACAAAAACCCAAAACTAATTTATATTAAAAAAAATGAAAATGGAAAGCATAGAAAAAACTGAAGTAGACAAAATAATTTTGGTATACACCCCCATACAACCAAATGGTAAAGAACAAATTGGGACAAAAATTCTTATTAATAGTGAAACACTTTCCTAGAGAAAATAAATTAAGTACTATTTTCAATAAAAATACACTAAAATTAAGTTACTGCTGTACTGAGAACTTAAAACATAATGCTAATATCTTAAATAAACACTTAGACCAGAAACAAAAAAAAATTATACAATAGATATATAAAAATAAAAACAGATGAAGATAAACAAAAATTATGTAACTGTAGAAACCCTCACAATTGTCCTCTACAAAATAAATGTCGCACGGAATCATTAGTATACTAATGCAATATCTCATCTATTGAAAATCCTGAAAACATAAAAATCTATATAGGTTGCACAAGCCATGAATTCAAAAAGCGTTTCAACTAACATCAAAGTTCCTTTTGGCACCTGAAAGAATCCAACACTTACAGTAAAATGAAAGTTAATAAGAAAAGCTAGAATATGTAGGTCATTAAATGACCCATGTCCTTTGTGCATACATGAGAAACTATATATTACTAAGTTTATAAAAATAAAAATTTACTGAATCAGAGAAATGAAATATCTTTAATATGCCGTCATTGTCAAAAATTTGCCTTAAATAATATTTAAAAATAAAATTAAAAAATCCAACCTGGTAATATACATACTTATATTTGATATTAAAAATTAATTTTATATAATGTAAGTAATTCTATTACATATACTTGTTTTAAAAAGGCATACACTCTATTAAAATTAACAGTGAAAATATTTTAAAACGTATTCTAACCTAAACATTCTTTAAAATTGTAGTTAAATAAAATAAAACGAATTCTAACCTAAACATATCCCTCAAAGTACTTCTGACACTAAAAAGAATCCAACAAAACACCTAAAGTAAAACAGAAACTAATAAGAAAAGCTAAAATATGTAAGCCAATAAATGACCCATGTCCTTTGTGCATACATGAGAAACTATATATTATTAGGCTTATATATAAAATATAAAAAATAAAAATTAAAAAATTAAAAATTTACGAATCAGAGAAATGAAATAGCTATTTTTAGCCGTCATTGTCAAAAAGTTTTCCTTAGAAAATATTTTGAAAAATAAAATCTTTTAAAAAAAAATTCTATTACATTTACTTGTTTTAAAAAGAAACATAGTCTATTAAAAATTAAAAGGAAAAATATTTTAAAATTGTAGTTAAATAAAACGTATTCTAACCTAAACATCCCCGCGAAAAATCTTTAAGTATACAAATAGAAAAAATGCCGTTAGAATTTTTGCTGTTAACAATAGAATTTAAAAAAAAACAAAAAAAAAAAAACAGACGAAATGAATTTAACGGATGTCAGAATTCGTTGAAAAATACACCCCCACCCGTACATAAACTTAACAGCTTTTTCGAACGTAACAAATAACAAAAGTTAATAAAAATGAACACGGTACGACCCCTTGTCTGGATGATTGGATTTCTCTGTATCCTTGGTAACCGTAAATTATGAATTTCCCTTGCAGTTAAAACTCAGTAAATTAAAAAAAAAAGAATATCCTCTGCTCTCTGCGCGAGACGGGCGCCCGTCTCCAGCCGTATTACGTCCAGCCGTTCCGTTTCACGTACCGCCGCCGCCGCCGCCGTTGCTGCCGCCTCTACGTCCCTGTGCGGGGAGGTCGAGTTACGCCAAAAGTCGCTTGAGGATGAAATGGATCTAATGTTTTTAATTTAATTACAAAATTAAATTTAAAGTTTTTAGCTTCCATTTTTGAAACATGGTTATTACTGTGTAGCGAAAAAGCCATATTTTAAATCACTTAATCTATAATATTAATGCTCTGTAAATTTACATTGAGCACTATTTTGCAAAAAATAAAAATATCATTAAGAACACCGGATTACATATCTTACTGTTCTTACTTTATTATATATATATATATATATATATATATATATATATATATATATATATATATATATATATATATGCCCCAAAATAAAATTGGACAAAAAGAGTAATGAACATGATGCAGATGAGTTACATCTTTTAGAAAATTGAAAAGTGGAAAAAAAAGATTGTAAAAAAGAAAAAATAAGGATTACAAATTTAAAATTTAAAATTAAAGACTCTGTTTTCGCATAGCCAAGAAACGTTAAGGGCTAAAGGGATGTAATTTGTAAGATGCTTAAGTCTTTCTAAGGTAAAATAATATATATATATATATATATATATATATAGAAAGAGAGAGAAGGGGAGAGAGAGAGAGAGAGAGAGAGAGGCAGAGTGGATTGGATAGCGGCTTGGATTGAGGAATACTAATATAATCCATTACATCCACTTACGTGCTAATACCCTTGGGAAAGGTGTGAATCCTCTTCCTCTCCCTCCAGCTATGGGTAAAATAGCAGGACAGACTGGGTTCTATAGCCTTGGATGGCAACTGGTCTAGGAGAAGGAGAACTCTGAATTCAAAACCTACGGAGGGTTGTTTGGGAACCTTGTGGCCCTTCACAAAGTGTGGATGGTCCTGCACGAAACCTTCACCACTATAATCAAATCTCATGTGCCGGTGTCGGCCTGTCAGTTTCCTGGAAACTGATCTACTTGACCCTCATATGTCGAATTCGATGGGGAAGAGTCAGTATATATATATATATATATATATATATATATATATATATATATATATATATATATATATATATATATATATATATATAT